ACCTGCTCTAGGAAGCTGTCAGAGCCTAGTGTCCCTTTGAGCTCAACAACCCTGAGGGAAATATTTAAACTTAATTCAATGATCTTGTGCACAGCAGTGCACTACATTATCGTCGCCTGGCTGCCTAGTTGGCTGATGATTGATTACAGTCCCCGTTGCCCTTCTTCCAAAGCACAGGGGCTTACATACATAGTGCGATTGCCTTCGCACCTCCATGTATTCCCTTAACAGCCCTGGAAATAGATTAGGTTGTGAGAGAGTGCCTGTGAATGATCGGGATGCTGCATTTTAAAATTAAAGTCATAACAGGTCACAGTTGAATAGTGTCCATCTGTTTCTCAGTTGGCTGGATTGTGCTGGTGAGGTGGAGATAGATAACAACTGTGTGAGGGTTGCAACTTTCAAGTAAAGTACATTTCCCCTGCTTGTATTTTTATAGAATGGTTTAAAAAGTGCCTGTAATTCGGCTACAAATGCTGAGAAATCCAGGGATTATATTCCATTAAAATCATAATGAAAAAATAGGTCAGGATTATAGTCTTAAATCAGGCCCTCTTGAACATATGGTAGCCTTAAAATGCTACACACCCAGCCAATCTGAGCTTTTTCAAGGTCCCTAGATTTCTACCCTGTTTAGGGTACATAGCCTTTTCTTTCTTCCATGCTCAAACCAATAGCTGCCTCTAGTGTTAAATACATGTAACTACAATCTGGGGATTTAAAAAAACCATTTTCTTTGGTGCAACTACATTGATAAATATAAGAAATGCTCCCAGATTAGGACAGTCTGGTATAAATTATTTTCCATTGACTATATGATGTAAACGTCAATGTGAATCTGCCTGTCTCCCCTACCCCCCATCCATAGTTTTTCCCTCTGCCAATGGGGCTTCTAATGTTTTGGAACTGAATTTCTTTGTATTGGTTCAGACACTGTGGTCGACTGAGCCACCGAGGAGGGGTCTGTAGCCGTTGTATTTAAAGCCATTCCAGCTGGCTCCAAAGAGATAGGGCAGGAGGGAAACTGGCTGTTATTTGAATCTTCCTTACACCTGGTATCTGGATCTGCTTCCATATCCCCTTTGCCTTCCCATTCTATTCTATTCCATGCTTTTCTTTCTTTTAATGGCTTGCTAATCTAGTGCTGTGGCAGCTAGACACCCAAAAACAGAGGGGAGGGAGGATGTTTTAAAGTAGCTCTGTTCTAATCATGCCTCCTTTAAATCTGAATAGTCCGAGCAGAGCAGAGCAGAGCTATACTAACAAGCTAGAAACAAGGCTGAAGGGAAAATCTCCTCCTCTCTCTTCATTTTTTTTATTTCCTCTTTGATCACCTAGCTGGCCTAGCACTAAAACAGTAAGCTTTTAAAAGAAAAAAGAAAACAGAATGAAAAGGGGGGGGGGAGGAAAAAGCAGATCCAGGTACCAGATATGGGGAGAAGAGAATCTGAATATGGCAAATTTGAATATCAGCAAATATGGCTGATTTCCTCTACACTCTGTTCACTCTTGTGTGGTGGGCTGAAGCGAATAAACCCAGGGGAACCCAACTTCTTAGGTGCAATTTCACAACAAATCTATTTGCATTTTTCCTGCTATGTAGTCACACCCTCTGTTTGTTTTGTTTTAGGGAAGCTGAACTGAACATCATTATGTGTTTGCTAGCATTTATGATACGTAATCCCTCAGTACGCCATGGTGTTCCATGACATTGTATAATGGGAAGGGTTGGATTTAGAGGAACATACTGTAGCTGAATTTAAGTTCCAACCAACTTAATCTGGATCAAACCCAACATATGAAAGTACTCAGCAGGAAAATCACAATGAAATTTGCAATAATGCATATAGCATCAATGCACGGACACGACTAAACGACTAAACACACACACATATAGCATCAATAGATTTCCCCATCTTTTATTTATAATGGGTTCATATTTCTCATGTTCGATTGTTTATTTAATTAACATGCTACCCATTTAGTGGATTCACAGTACTGTGGTGGTACAAAAACAACAACAAAAAAACCCCCATAACTTCACCCACTTCATTCCCATAAAAATCATCACATAATCAAAATGGTGATGTAACCAACTCAGATGTGGTGGTCTACAAAAATCTGAGGTTGCAACATTAACATTTACATCATTTGAGAGTAAGATGTCCTTAAAGGCTGCCTTATATAACTCTTGTTTCTAACTTACTGTGACCTGCTGTGGTTTTCGAGGTATGTAAGATGTCCAAGTCTGGTTTACCATTGCTACCAGCAGTGAGTTTCCACATTCAAATGGGGTTTGAACCCAGGTCTTCCGAGTTCTAGTCTGATATACTATTCACTACATCACACACTCTCCTCTCCTCTAGTTTAGATACAGTTTGTGTATTTTTATTGTTACCCAACATTTACTTGAGCTTTTATGGTTTTGAATGGCTCTGCTCAGTTACAGTTGCCCCACTATAATCCTGGAAGTTTTATCACAACCAGACAGTTTCCACAACATGGAGACTGCCAGCCTGGTTTGGCAATGAATCATCTTGCTCTCCCTCATCAACTCTTTTTTCATTTCCTACCTATTGTAGCATAACTTTCTTCAGAATTAAAGCCCAATCGTGTTGTTTCCAGTGTTTGTTGTGTAAATTAAAAGTACTAAAAATAGCCATGAAGGCTATATACTCATAGTGAACACTCTGAATATGAGAAAAATTGAGTAGCCACGAGGCTACAGGTAATGATGGGGAGTGGTTTTGTTTCAGGACTTCGCTTTGATAGGAGTCTGAACCCAGGGCCAATCTCACCCTCTCCGCCTGCTGCATCTCACAGGGTTGTTGTGAGAAGAAAGTGAGGATGAGGAGAGCCACAGACAAGCAAATCAAATAAAGTCAAGAAAAAGTGGCCATGTCCTGAGAACTTGGGTGGGAGGCAGCCTAGAACCGCAGTGATCAAACTTAAGAAGGACACAGCAGGGGCGCTACTTGGTGTTTGCATGCACGTATGATGATAATGGAAGCACATAAGGTGACTGGAAAGCGAAGAGCCACTTTGTTGACTTTGAAAACTAATGATGTGACAACAATGATTTTCCTCCCAGATTATTTATGCATGGGAAGTGTTGCATTGCAGTAAACCATGGTCTTCAGGCATTAAGAATCATCCTGTCATATCATTATAACAGGAGGTGTAACAGATATCATGGGATGATCACTGGAGAGGACCCTGCCTGGTGCCTTTATTGTTGGAGTTCTATTTGCAGCCTCACATGCTGCTTTTAGTTTGTTTGACTGAGAGGGATGTTGCTAGCCAAGAATTCCTTCTAGCCTTTGAACTCAAAGAGCCCCACCTCTCTGTTGAGTGATATTTCCCTCTTTTTAAGTTGGTTGGTGGTAGTTGTTTGCTGTTAATTTGGTTGCTTGATTGCTAAGTATGAACGTGCTAAAGAAATCAATATACAGTACACACAGTCTGTAATTTCAAGCAACTGTAATGTTCTTTCACACTTTCTACTATAAATTCCTCAGTAAATTATTAAGATTTCAAATGTTAATGAGAAAGGGGTGAACTGTCAATCTCTGTACTTCTACTGTGTAGCAAAAAGAAATTTTAACCAGAAATTCAAAACTCTGTAACATTTATAATGGCCTAAATAACCCTGAAGTGCTGTTTTCTTCCATATAAACCAGTGGTTCCCAACCTTGCGTAAACCAGATTCTTGGGCTACAACTCCCAGAAGCCTTCACCACTAGCTGCGCTGGCTGGGGTTTCTGGGAATTGCAGTTCACAAACACCTGTGTTACCCAGGGTTGGGAACCACCAATATAAACCTATTCACTCAGATCTTTAGCTGGGTTTACCCACTGCCTTAGAAGATATGGCCTTCTTAACTAATTCTCAACCAATTCTGAAATGGATTTAGCTGGGAAGCACATCTGTCCGTACAATCTATGAATGCATCAGTGTGAACTTTGATGTTGTTAGGATTTCTGCTCTTGATGCTGGCTGTATGTTGAAGATTTTAGTTTTAGGTAATATGTTGGCATTGCATCGCATAACTATCTGTGTATATGTGTGGTTTTGATATTACAAAATATAAGTATGTCTACACTGTGACTGCATTGTATTCCATTTTTCTGTGGATAAGCTTCAGATTTCAGAAGAGGTATTCGTCTGTGCTACCATATCAAGACTAGCACACCTTAAAGACTAACTGCTAAATTTTAATGTGAGCTTTTGTGGAAGTTTCCTCAGACACAACAGATTCCAATTTCTTTTGTACAGTACTGGTACAAACTTCTAGGGCGGGGTTGGGGTAGAAGATTTTTTCATGTTAATGCTAAGGATGTTTTGTTGGTATTGAGCATTTTGTAAAACAGCAAAATTCTTGTTAAGGATTATCAAATGTTGTCAATCAGTAATAACAGGCCAGTTAATCCAGCCAGCCACCACAGCAATGTATTTTACATTCTCCTAAGTTTCAAGACCACTGGGCACTCCACTATAATGTTAACTTCCTCCCTAATTCAAGTGCTTGGTAATCTAATAGGCCATCAGAAATCTCGCTGAAAGCACACGCAGCCTCCGGGCAGATGAATAGGTATGTCTGCGTAATCTACATCTGTACCTGCTAATTTAAATGCCTCTCTGAAAGCACTTCACCTGGAAATAAATTTGAATCTCAATTGCTCTAAATTATTGTTCTGTATGAGCTTTTAATTTGATAACGAGTATCACTGCATTAAGATTTTCCCCCCTTTTAAATGTTGGCTCAAGATGACATATCAAGTTCCCCAATAACATGAAGCTGCAAAAAGATCACAAATGAATAATGTCAAAGCATCTTTAGCAAAGTGTAATGTCTTTTGATTGTGGATCCTGCTCTCTATCATGAATGAACAATTCACCTTTAATTAAGAGGGACTTAATGATGGGATATGAGAAAACAGCTAAAGTACATACATGCTGTACAATGTTATAATGTGCACATTTCCATTATTTCTACACAGCTAAGCCAAGGATGGGTTCCAGTGTGATGTAAGTCATCCAGGCTGCGTGCCTCACTATGATGATGCAACTGAAAAGCTCAAACAGCCATTATCAAGATGACAAGGATGAGTTTTAAGATGGTAATGATATGTGTTTTTTTCCTCCTTTCCTTTCACTTTGTAGCTTTACTTGAAAGGAACTGCAATGATGGACACATTTCTATGGTGTTTTTGTGACTGATCCAACATGTAGTCAGATCCTTAACTGATCCGTGCTATGTATTTAGTGAGTAAATCGTTGTCAAGAAAACGCAGCCTTGTAATGGTGGGAGAGGCATTAGATGGGTACATAGCATGGCAAGCATGTCTTGACTGGTCTCTTCTGTTGCATTCTGCACAGACCTATACAGGCCGCAGATGACCAGCTTGTGGCATGTATTGGGAGGCTGCAAACTGACCACCTAATCACTATTCTTGCCTGTAGGCCATTAGACCTACTTTGCATGGCGATCGCAAAAAGATTGTCGTAAAGCAGATTTGTCGTAATGCGAAGCAATAGTAAAGCGAGGCACCACTGTATAGGACAAATTTTCTGTAACTGTGGAGAAGTTCAATTAATTTTAATGTGTTTAATTCTACCTTTATTTCATATACATCCATAATTTTAATTTGTGCAATGTTCTGATATGAACAAAGATGTTAGACTACAAATACAGATCTGCATGCTGGAACAGGTTTTTTTCCCTTTTCTTTTCAGGAGAGGGCCATCCACAAACTCTCTCCAAGCCTCCACAGAATAATGGAGAAAATGAAACACATTTCAGGAAGTCTGATTTTACTTTGCAGGCTCTGGTTAGGTTGCACATGTGAGTGGTCAACACCTCCCCCCTCCATTGATGTGTAAAGTACCAATCTAGCATTATTAATTTGTATGGTAATCAAAAGGAAGTCACATTTTTACCTTATGAACACAATGAAATTAAAGTCTAGCATCATTTCTAACATCTGATTTTACAGCTGGCATTTACATCTAATTTTCATTTGCTAATTTCTTCCAGGAGGCTGCTGTATAATTTCAAATACAATTCTATTACAGACAAAATAAGTAATCAAGTCTCAGCACCAGCATCTTCCACACAGCTTGAGTCTGATGGAAGCCTGCTGATAATGGGGCAAAGCAAGAATAATGGATGGTATTGAATGTCCACACATACACCTTCCCCTGCAGCAACTTTTATGAATGCATGCAGAGGGGAACAATCCTTAGAAGCTCCCATGTGTCCAAAAAGATTGCTCAGGAGGCCTGGGTAAGTCTTCAAAGCAGAATTTTGGGGGATGGCAGGAGGGAGAAACCAAAGACCCCAATGCTAATAGAAAACATTTTAGAGTTAGGCTCATATCTGTTCCCCTCTTCTCCAAATGTATAGAAGTTATCTATCTAAAAGAGTACACACATTTTTAACACCAGCTGATTCAAATAAAATATACTGTTGCAGCTTCTCGTCAATAAGTTATTGCTTGATGAAATAGATTTCTGGCTAGGGTTGCAGCACTTAAATACACGGTAGGGTTACTCACAAGGCAGTGTTTAAGGGTTTGCCACCTATGCCATCTCATACCCACCCAACTTGTTCCCGTCTTCTAATTTATCAAGCATCTGTACAGTTTTGATGAGGATTATGCATGTATTTCCTTTTGAAATCTGTTCTCCTGTCACAAATTTAATGAATTTTCAAAATGAAAAGTAAGAAAAGGGCTTCAATATGTTCAGTGAGTGAGGTATCTGGCCGCAGAGCCAGAGGCTGTGAGTTAAATTCCCCACTGTGCCTCCTAGGAGTACAGCCAGCCAGCCTTTGTAGCCTTGGGCAAGCTGAACAGTGCCAGGATGCCCCCAGAAGAAGGGAATGGTAAACCAATTCTGAATACTCTCTGCACCTAGAAAACCTGAAAAGGATTGCCATAAGCCAGAATTGACTTGATGGCATATAAATAAAAACAACAATAAATTATGTTAAGCAAAGCAAAGGAAAGGCAATTTTTAGTCAGGTATTTTGCCGTAGCACATGCTGAATTATTCTGCAACATGTCTCTGAACCTAGTGGGAATTACAGAAGCTTGGAAACTTGGAATACAAAACATGAACTGTATAACAAACAAAAAGACATGGCATCTTTAAAGCTAACCAGTTTATCTCAGTGTGACCCTTTCATGGATTATAATCCGTTTAGCCGGACACAGATGGCACGAGGTGCCACATCTAATTTCATAAAAGATTTGTTTGCAAAAGCTTAAATCAACGCTGATCTGCTTCGGCAGAGGGCTGGACTTGATGGCCTTTGAAGGCCCCTTCTAACTTAGTTATTCTATGATTCTATTTAGAAATCTTTTGCTGGGCTCTTTCCTAACTTGTTCTGGTAGGAAGAAATGAAAACCCATAAACACGTCCATGATAATAATAATGATTTTATTCTGGAAAAAAGCACCATCTTATTTTTATATGAAGTATGAAATCCAATGCTGCTACGGAAAACTGACATTGCAACCTGAACGATACAAATAGCGTCATTTCAGACAGTATTTCAGTTAAAGCAGATTTTTGTGCTACTTACAGCAAGGACAAAGAGAACAAGTCAAGAAAGTCATGATGTACAACAGACATTAGTTGAAAATGAATAGGTAACTTTTATACCTTGTGGGTCCACAGACCTTCTACAAAGGAACATCTCCAATGATTGACAGAAAGAAGACAGCATTACAAGCTGTCACCTATTTTTATTGACGTGTATCATTCAAGCTGCAAACACTACCAGGCTTTTTGATATGAATGACTATTCTGACATCAATATTTCATAAAGACATTTTAGAAAAGAATCCACACTACACAAATACCATGATTTGAGTTTGGAATTTTTTTTACCTACTCCTTGAAAACATGTTGCAAGTCTCAGTCTTGCATTTGTTGCAACGACTAGAGACAAGCTAGAGCCTATTCTCTTGCAATGAACAGAAACCTATCTTTCCACGTCACAAATGCAAATTAGGGTGTCTATATGCAACATACCACAATTCATTTCCTGCAAACAAGTATATGCAGGGTCCACTACCTCTGCAGAAAGCATGCTACCAGAAACCAGACAGCACTGCCCCTTGCTTTCAGAGCTTATTCTTGGTACAACTTTCCTTCATTATATTATGTTTAATCATATAGTATGACCACATAATTTCCAAGGACACAACAGCATACTTCAATTAACATATTTTTTTCACACAGCAAACAAAGTAGTTAAAACAATGTACTTCATTGCCTTGTTCAGGTCCCAGACACAGCTCCACTATCACTTCATTATCTGAAAACCATCTAGCTACTCATTTACAGAAATATCATGCAGTGCTATCATGTATCTCCTGGATTGGAAACACCATAAACGAAACATGGATTTTGTAGTTGTGCCTCAGTATTTTACATCGAATACCATGTTTTGCAGAGACAAAGAAAATCTGATCTGCTTTGGCCTTGAGATCCATGCAGCAATCAGAACAGTCACTGTTGCTATGTCAAGCATCACAATGTGAACAGGCCTGCAGCATTTATTGCTGTAAGGTGTGAACTAAGGATGTGCATTGACGGGATTCAATATTTTCAAACTTTTGCTTCCAGCATTAGAAGAGCTGATGCCTTTGGAACATTCTGAGCACGACCTTCTCTCTATGCAAAACAGCCGAGTGTGTGATTAAATATTCAAGTAATGAACTCAACAGGGTTAGAGATACATTTGCTGTGCAAAATTAAGATGATAGTATTCAGCGCAATGCAAGAGCCACACTCTTGAATGTTCTGCTTAAGCATTTCTTCATCTGGCAGACGCACAGGTCATTATCAGAAGGCGGCTTCTGAAATTAATTGGCTTACTCTTAAGATCCAGAATCTGGGCTGAATATATTTACCACCAAGCCTGCCAGATAACTTTCCATAACTTAGTGCTGTCAGATTAGTTTATGCAAGTGGACCTGTTAAGCATTAGTGCATAGCTTCTATCTTTAGGGTGGATATAAGATGTGCAATAAACTTTTTAAAGCCCATAGGTATGGAAGCTGTAAAGATGTGCAGAGAATAAAAGAGCTCTTTCCTAACCTGGGGACTATATATGTTGTTTGCAAAGTACAGTATTATGCTAGCAAGCCATTAAATAAGAATGGCTTTACCTGAACTGTTAAAAGGTAAAGGTTCTCCTTGACATTTAGTCCAGTCGTGTCCAACTCTAGGGGGCGGTGCTCATCCTCATTTCCAAGCCGTAGAGGCAGCATTTGTCCGAAGACAGTTTCAGTGGTCATGTGGCCAGCGGGAATAGACACGGAACACTGTTACCTTCCCACCGTGGTGGTACCTATTTATCTACTTGCATTTGCACACTTTCGAACTGCTAGGTTGGCAGGAGCTGGGACAAGCGATGGGAGCTCACTCCGTTGCGTGGATTTGATCTTACGACTGCTGGTCTTCCGACCTTGCAGCACAGAGGCTTCTGTGGTTTAGTGAAGGCCATTTTCTCTGAGGAGTCTAGGGGGCAGCAGTAAGATGTCAGAAAACAGGCTACTAGAGTTCTAGGGTAAGATCTACTGTTCCTGCAATGATGTCTTGATGCCTAGAGGATTTACAGGAATATAACATGTCTGGGGCAATGCTAGCAATCCTTGTGTGAAGAGTTCTTAAGCAATGTGTAATCTCTCTCTCTCTGCCATCTTTGTTTTGCTTTAGACTTCTTAATGGAAAGAAATTAAAGCTCAATACTATCACTTCGTTGTCGTTTAGTCGTGTCCGACTCTTCGTGACCCCACTTAAATATTGCTTACTCAGATTATCTGTTACACACGGGGGGGGGGGCTACTGAAAAAGGACACAGTCTTTCAGATATTATTACTGTTATTGTCTGTTGTTCTCTTCTACTGTCACAAATGTAGTATTAGATCCTCTTGAAAATGATGGTTATTTTCCTTCAGCAACTGCTAGCTCAAGGTTCTTGTTGGCAAGTTTTTACAGCACTGGCCATATATAGTTTAAACTGAATGATAAGCCAATCACAAAAAATACCTTTAAAGGGAAAAATAGCACCAGGATGAAAGCAGTATCTGCTTTGACTTCCTGTGTTTCTTGGGAATAATGAACAGCCAGTAGAGACACACTCATGTCACAGAATTAGGCTTACAGTGTCCCGGTCTTTGACCAAGTGAAAGGAAAAGGTTCCTGGACTAAGCAGACAGATAGCTACATTCTGCTAGGAAGGAAGGAAAGAAAGAAACCATGTGTTAATTTTATCGTCTACTAGTTATTCCATCATTTTCCAATTTCACATAAGATAAGTTAGTGTAAATAATAATACAGGGGAACAGCTACCAGACACAGTTACTCTTCCCCTATTATGATTACTAACAGATGCAGCTACATAGGGACAGACCTGCACACTGCTGCGTACTAATTACATGCCGATTAAACACACAACCATACTGAAAGATTCTTGTGCACATCTTCTGCATATGGATTAGCAACTCTGGTCCTAGACCAACAGTGAGCAAAGCACTACCCTCGAGATATTTCTGGACCACAACTCCTATCAGCCCTTGCCTGAACAGCCAATGGTGAAGAATGCTGGGAACTGGAGTTCAATACCTGGAGGGCCAAACTTTGGCCACTCCTGCCCTAGACAGGAGTTTTTTCCCCTCAATTATTAATATTGTTAGAAACAAACTGCTTGAGAAAGCAAACTTTTCTCTTTCTTTCTTTTTAATGTGTGAGGTCACAGTGAATTCTTCAGGAGCAGAACTGTTAAACTGCTCTTGTGGTTGTCATGCAAGATTCCTGATGGCACCAGAGTACTTGGACTTTGGCAGGTCAACACTGTAATTCAAGAGAAAACAGAAGACTTGTAATACTAGTATTTTAATCCTTTGTCTGAAATGCAGAGAAAAAGAACTTCTTGAACTGCTTAGCAATTGGTAGCCTACTGTATTTAAATGACTAAATAACCAGCCATCAGCTGCAACAAACATTTCAGATGTTAAACTTTGGACCTGTGATTCTAGTTCAAGTATTGCTTTTGAGTACAACAAGATGAAACTGATTATTTCTAGTTATTTCATAACTTACTAACATACATTTTAAAATGCCACCATCCCTTAACATTATTGTAGCCTCTATTACAACATACCATGTTTGTCAGTGTATAAGATGCCCCCATGTATAAGACACCCCCACCACTTTTCTAACCCAAAATTAAGAAATCTAAGGAGGGCTTAGCAAGTGGAGAGGGAAAGCAGGGAACAAAGTGCTGAAAGCAGGGATCAAAGCACTTAGCATGTGAAGGGGGAAAGAGGGATCAAAGTGCTGCGCAATCACTTTGATCCCTACTTTGCACCTCCAATTTCTGCCAAGAAAGTGGAGGCAAGAAAGTAGAGGGGAAAGCAGGGATCAAAGCGCTGAAAGAACTTTGATCCCTGCCATTCCCTTCCACTTTCTTGCCTCCAATTTCTTGCCAAGAAAGTGGAGGGGGGAAAGCAGGGATCAAAACAATCATGCAGCACGTTGATCTCTCTTTCTCCCTCCACTCGCTAAGCAGTCTTCGAAAGTGAAGGGGGAAAAGCAGGGATCAAAGCACCACATGATCGCTTTGATCCATGTTTTCCCTTTTCTTGCTAAGCTCCAAGAAAGGGGAAGAAAGGGGAAAACAGGGATCAAAGCGATTGTGCAGCGCTTTGATTCCTTTCCCCCTTCCTTACTTCCATGTATAAGACAACCCTCAATTTTTAGTCTAAAGATTTTAGACAAAACTATCATCTTATATACAGAAAAATACAGTAACATGCATCTTACAAGCTCAAAGACACCATCACACAGTATGGACTTGTCACTTAGGACATTCAGGAATTTCAGTTTCCTTGTAATCATGACAAATATCATTCAAGTCGGTGTATTCTTTCTCTGTTGTTACAACAGCTGGAAATCACTAACAACCAAAGGAATATTCTTTTACAGAGTAAAATATTCCTAATGGTATTTGTCATAAAATTCTTGTGAAGAATTTTAAAACAGTTGCATCTAACATGATTTTTGACCCTTAAAAGATACATGAGAGAAGGAAAGTCTACATTTGTTTTGGCACATTACATCATCTAGAGCAATTTAAAAATGAAACAGGAGTTTGTGTCTTTGTGACTACGGTTGTCATTTTGCTGTTCCGATTCTCTTGAAGATTTCACAAAGTTAGATGCGGCTTTTATTCTGCCTTTGCTCCTCTACTTAGATTCAGCACATGTATCATCCTCTGAAGGCACAGAGGGGACGCTATCATGGGACATGGTGTCAATGCTCTGCACTTCTGACTGAAGGTGGACAGAGACCTCAACAGCTATTTCTTTGCCGTGGTCATTCACAGAGCCATCATCCGAATCTCCAGCTGGTGAATTGCTGCGCTTGATTTCTGGGTTTAAGGGATAGAGCCCTGCTTGAGTACCTATGGCCTGGCTTGCTTTCACACCATCTCCCACTTCATCAGGGTCATCCATGTGCACTGCTTCAAATATCTCTTCCATAAAGGCTCTGCAGTTAAGGATTAGCGGTGGAAGAGGAATACTTCTGGCAAGCTCTTCAATGTATCGAGCAAATTCCATGGTCTTAAACTGGGTGACCTTGGCCAGCTCTAGTGTTTTAGCGGAAGTAATGATGGGAATGCGTTTGGCAATTTCAAAGGCCTTCTGCAATTTCTCAGCCCCTTCTGTTCTGAAGAACTCATTTATGGCCTTCTCTGTCTTGCGGAGATGGCTGCTCATCATGCACAGGCGGGTTATATTTAAGATCATAATGATTGTAAAGGCAACCAGGCAGACAATCATGTAGTAAATGCCCATGTCCCCAGACGTGGAGACAACCCTGAGAGTAACTGAGTAATAAAAGGTGCCATTTCCATTCACAGCTACACATGTGTATCGCCCCCGGTCATCAAAGGTTACATGAGTGATATTCAGAGCACTCTCAGAAGTCAACCATCTTCCATCTAAAGAACAGAATACAAAAGAGACTTCAATGTCACTGTTTCAGATTTTACTATGCCTTTACTACACAACCAGTGGGCATAAGAGATAAAGGCTGTTTTTCTGGTAGCTCCTTCTTTATTGGCCTCCTTAGCAGGTTGTAAAGGACCTTTAAAGAGCTTTTTATTCCAATAAGTTTTTAACTGTTACTGATGAGCTACAGTTTTAAAGCTTGTATCTTGTATCTGCCAGACTGGACTGGGAAATTTTAAATGTTGCTGTCTTTAATTTAATGTAATTCATTTGTTTATCATAAATTACTCTTGGGGGAATATTTACCTGGAATATCTGCTAGCTCAATGTAAATAATTCATTTTCTTGTATTAAACCTAAATCTGAGCTTGCTGAAGCAAACACGGGCTCATGGAAAAATTCATGCAACCAGCACATGAGATTTAAGTATCAAGTGTCCTTAAAAGTATGTCAATGAACACGAACAGTCTACTGCAACAGGATTATGCAAAACTGATTAGACTGCCACTTTTTTAAACAGTAGCATGTGTTACTACAGCTTCTTGCACTAATGAATGGATAAATAGGATTCCCCACTGAGATACAATGCTCAGGATGAAATCACAATTCGTATACTAATTTAAAATATTGTGTATACTACATTTTGATGGGGATATTTTTGAACAGAGGGACAGCATATCTACTTTTCTAACTGTGGCTCTGATAAAGCACAATACAAATATAGCACCAGTCCTCACTATCCAGTGGGCCAGCTATGTTGTAGTGGTAGTCAAACATGTCTCTCTTACCTGCTCCCTCTTGTGCCAGCCGATGCCCTTTTGAGTTGTACCAAAGGATGGAGTCATGTTGGCTGATGTTCAGCTTACATTCAAGGAAAGCACAGTTGCCCTCCTTCACAATGACATCTTGAGGTACTGCTGATTTTGTCAAGGTTTGTAAGACAGGTATAAGTGACTTTTTCAGAGGCAGGGTCCTTGACCCAGATGCAATTGTCAAGTTGGAGGCCACATCTTCAAGAGCCCAAATGCTCGTATTGAAAAACAGAATCAACAGGTAGCAACAGAGCTTCATGGAAGCTTAGAACAAAGTGATTTTCTCATTCAATTTCAGATGATGTGAACTGTTGAAAAGGAAACCAATTGCATTACGCTGGCCACCACCAAAGAAGGTCTTCATAGAATCATCAAAAAGAGGACTTGAAAGACTTTTTAAATCAAACGAATGGAAAAAACTGAAACAGGAAAAAAAATCAATATTATTAAAAATACAAAAATTATGGTTTTCAAACTAAAACACCAGATTTCAGGATGAAATGGCATAAAACGGTATTTCTCTGGACTTGGAACAAACTTAAACAAACAGCTATCAGAGCCAGTGTAATGTTGTAAAGGGGAAATAAAATACAAATACTTTGTGTTTCTTGCACTGCACAAAGTGGAAGATTTGCTGACTCTCTCTTCCTTCTGCAGCCACATCTCACATTGAGGTTCCTCTAGCTCTTTCATGACCTGTCCAGGGGGTAGTGGGGGAAATAGGAATTGACAAAAATCAGTCCCCTCCCTTCAGTGACCCTACCCTGCAAGTATAGGAATGTTGCACAGGAACCCTGGACCTAAGTCACAGTGCTGGAAGGAAAAACAGCAGCACAAATCATTTCTTTCCTGACTTCTCTAACACAAATGAACCTATGAATTTGTCTCTATGTGCTTATGTTTTTTGCAACAGGTCCAAGCCATGCCAGATTTAACTAAGGACAGATGAGGATTGGTAGCTTTGTGGGTAGTGTAGATAAGGCTATGCTGAAAGCAGTAACTTGGGAACAAGGAAACCTGCCCAGGGGGAGAGGTCTTCTAAGTGAAATTATTAAAACAAGTGTTTGTTCACTACTGGGTTATAATTTTAAAAGGCAGACTAATTAAGCATTTGAAACAATTGAAAAAAATTAAAAAGAATTATCTCAGAGGTGGGGGGATATCTGTTCCTGTGGTTCTTCCCCTTAGCACAACAATACACCCACAACAATACACACTAATCACCCATCTACAGAAAAAGACAAAAGCTTATCTCACAGCCATAAATACTGGCACTCCCAAGCCAACTACACCAGAGCACAGGTTGCTGTGCTCTGAAGATGCCGGCCACAGAGACTGGCAAAACATCAGGAAGAACAACCTTCAGAACACGGCCAAAGAGCCCGAAAAACCCAGAACAACCATTAGATCCCGGCTGTGAAAGCCTTTGCAAATATTTTGGATTTGTTTGTGGATTTGTTTTTTTGTTTTTTGCAGTTCCAGTGTGGGACTTGCTGTGTTTATTTTCAATTTGTTTTTGGTTTTTTTTCCCTTCGGCCAGAACGGATTAATCGGTTTTCAATGCATTCCTATGGGAAATGGAGCTTCTACTTATGAATATTTCAACTAATGAACATCTTCTGGGACGGATTAAGTTCGTAAGTAGATGTTATACTGTATTCAAATATACACCCAATTTATTTGCACGTATAAAACTGCACTTCCAAACATTTTCAGCCACAATGTGACAGACTAAGCTCTTAATGCATTTATATCTTTCTGCAGTTTGGTTCCTTCTGACCCAATCCCATTTCTGCATTTCCCTCAGCAGCTCTGAATATGAAATACTGCTCTTCATGTTGCTATTATACAAAAAGTTTCATCTACAAAGCCTCTTAAAACTCCTTGTCACATTCCCGCCTGTCCCTTGGTTGTTTCCCCAATCCTAGGGCACAAACTATGTGTCATTTCGCTGCCACAAGTTGATAACATCAACATTCTTTATTATTAATCACCAAGGTCCAGGAAATGTGTCATTTTAAAACCAAGTAGAAATTGTTTATTGTTACAAGAAATGAAAGTTCTGTGTTATTAACCCTCAACTAAACAAGTTTCCTTTCTATTCTCTGCCGTATTCCCAAACTCTCTCTCAGTTCCAAACTTCAAATCTAAAACTCCCAATCTCCAATCCCTAGTCTAACTCTCTCCTCCCCCTGCAGAGACTCTTATATCTCGTGACTCCGCCTCTCCAGCACTCTCATTGGTCCATGCAGATAGCACATTAATATTCATGACCTGGGCAGATGCCACACTCCTAATGAACTATTTCTTTCCTGAAATGCATATGAGCCAACTACATTAAAATACTTTTATTTCAAAGCAAACAAACAAACAAACAAACAAACAAAAACAAAAACAAAAAACCTTCCTACTATGATTTAAATAAATAACCTTTCAATAATAGTCATATTTCCAACCATTTTTTACCTTTCTGGATCCTGCACTTTTTCTAAAGCATCTTGAACTTTAAAAACAGAATGGCAGATACAAAACAAACAATTTTTATAAATATCTTGGAAACACAACTGAAATCAATACAACTTGTAAGATTATACTAGAAGTTTCCTATGGTAAATAAAATATATGTATACCCACTAACATTGTAGCATTTCCCCAAGAATGTTACATAAGAGCCTTTAAACATTATGGTCCTAATTATGAGTGAAAAGCTTGTCCTAAGAACATAAAAAGAGCCATACTGGTATTGCTAGGGAAGTACATTTGCCCTTAGTCTGGCATACTGATTTTCCATCCAATGGGAACAAAAGTTGAAACATTCTTTTGTTGCTGTCATGTTTTGTTAAAAGCAAAGAACACAAGAAACCACACACTCTTTTTTCTGTCATGTTAGCTAGAATAGCTTGAGATTTGGCAGCTTGTCTGCCATGGCTTCATTGTGTCCTATACAGTAGTTTTGTTCTGCCGGTATACCAACCAATCAGGGTGGATAAAAATCAACAATATTTAAAAATCAAATTGGTTTAAATCATGATTTATATCACAAATTAAATGTAAAAAAATCAAGTTTTTATTTTTAAATCATCAAAAAATCTAATTTTTTTATATTTAAATCATGGTTTACGTAATGAATTAAATCAGTTCAATTTTAAAAATCAATCTGATGTGATTTAAATCAATTTGAAATCCACCTTGCAACTAGCAACTTCACTTCCAACTATATTTAAAATTTTACATATTGTCTGAAATCTTGTAGTGCAGTTACATGAAAGGCATAAATTTTCAACATTTCAAGTTAAGAAATCTCCGTGAGCATTATTCGTTACAGAACTTAGCATGCAAGCTCATGTCCACAGAGATGTCTTAATTTGCAGCAAAGTGCATCTAAAAGTTACGTCTTTTGATTAACTGAACAACAGGATTTCAGCCATTGTTTTTCTTCATTTCTCTCGCCTATCAGCTATAAAACTACTTATTAAACCATCTCTCTCATAAATCCAATTCTCTGTACTTTCTCTCCTGTAGCATTTTATAATATTTACCTTACCCTCTGGATACTGACCAAGCCTCTTTTTTTTTTGCCTTTTTCTCACATAAACCCTTAAACATATTTTCTCTCACTCTGCCATCTATATGATGCCATCTTCTCTTATTTTAGGCCAAAGTGTATAAACATTTACTGTAACTCAGGGTGGATTAGATTTAAATCAAGTGAATTTAAATCACTAGCAGGGTGGATAAAATCAATATTTAAAAAATATTTTTTAAATCCCATTTTTAAAAATTAAAATCAGATTTTTAAAATTTACATCATTTTTAAAAAAGCATTATTTTTGGTCCACCCTGCTAGTGATTTAAATCATTTTGATTTAAATCAAATCCACCCTGCTAGTAAGATTTCTTTTCTGCATCACTCACAAAGCCCTTCTACTTCTCTTGCCTCATTTTTATCAAGATTATGACTCTGTAGTCAGGTATCAGTCAAACTTAATTTACATGCTGCACCTATTTTAGCTGCTTTTAAAAATGATAATAGTAGTACCGCTCATTAAAATGCAATACCTATTTAGATGGGAGAATCTTGTAACTCTTTTCTTATGAAATTAATTCATGCAACTTTATTTATTGCATTTCTAGGAGGTCACAAACATCTAACTGCTCCTCACAACTGGAAAACATCTGGGTTTGCTGTCTTTCAAAAACCTGGGATTATTACAGACAATAATTGTATATTCTCTGAAGAATATATTATATCATACATCTTGCCATCAAAGCTTTTTATGCTTGATCTATAAAACCGTTTATTCGTGGCGCAGTGGTTAAAACGCTGTACTGCAGCTAAAAACCGTGCTCACGACCTGGGGTTCAAATCCCAGGTAGCCGGCTCAAGGTTGACTCAGCCTTCCATCCTTCCGAGGTCGGTAAAATGAGTACCCAGCTTGCTGGGGGGGCAATGTGTAGCCTGTATAATTAAAAATTGTAAATCGCCCAGAGAGTGCTTGTAGCGCTATGGGGCGGTATATAAGTCCAATAAATAAATAAATAAATAAATAAATAAATAAATAAATAAATTTTTATAGAAAAATTGCAAACATCTACTATTGAGCTTTTGGGAGGAAAGAATTAGGGTTATTATATTAGTTTCACAACAACTATTTAAAACAGCAACCCACAAAACACAAGGAGGATACAATTACATCATGTCCTATATTCACAAATAGAGATCAGCATGAAATTAATCACGAACCAAAAAATCCAGTGAACTGGGTTGGTTCATGGTTTGTTTCATGACCCAATTCTTGGATTCCGTTTTGCTGAAGCAAAACAAAACACTGAACTTTTTTCTCTTCGCCATTTCACTTGATTTGGGATGGCTGTCCCCTTCCCACTGGCCCTGTTGCCTCTGCCTACCAGCTTTTGCCACCTCCGCCGGGACAGGTGCTATCCTCAGAGGCAGCAGGCCTGGCTTCCCTGCCAGGAGCTGGCTGTTCTCTCTGAACATGTGCCTGTAGCGGCAGCAGAGACGGCAGGAGCAGGTGCCCCACCCTGGGCACAAACAGGAAAAAGGAACTCTAAACCAGTTCACTTTTGGGGGGTTCATGCCCATCTCCACCACAAACCACCAGTTTTCTGGTTCATCAGTATCTCTATTCACAAACACTAAAGTCATGGATATCACACAGTAACTGCTATGACTGACACCGACTCAACACATTTAATTTTCACCATACAATGCATCTTGCATATGATCATGCACACAATCTGGAGTGCATGTATGCAGAAGCAGAACATGTCTTGCTCACAGTGCTCTTAATGCTTATTAACATCATTGTATGCAATATTATGCAATTTTATGCAGTGCAAAATCATCACAACTATCAGAGTAAAAGAGCACTTACACAAGATTTCACAGTCTCATCAATGTTTTTGTAAACAATATTACTGCATAAGGAGATTAGGAAGCAAAATCCAAACATAGAGCATATGAGTGTCTGGTCTTGAGATAGCAGAAGGTAAATATTTTCTATATTAATTGAATGGTGACATTTGATTGAATGTTGTTTTTCGACTGTAAATACTTTCACTTCTTTATCTCCAGCAGACACAAATTTCAAGAGCTTGTGTTTAACTCAAATACAGGAAACTTGCTTGACACAAATTTCCTGCCACTGAAGAAATCTGCTCCTAATGTGCCAATGAACAGCAAAATAGCTGTTTGCATGGGAGGAGACTGTATGTATATGGAAATGTACAAACCAGGATACAAACCATATATCCTGCTAACTGCCATATCTTTAATCATTTCAAATATTTATTTTTACTATGCATCATATTCTGAAAATACAGAATATTGTCTACCCCTTTGAGCTCCCAATTCTGTGAATAATATGCATGCCTTAGTTCACTGCACAGCACTGAATGAGAAGGGGGCAAACACATTATTTAAAAATGGGAAACAGGGAACATATGTTCTTGGGATTTAATTTTTCAGAAGGTATAATATCAGGTTTCCAAACTACTTTGTAAACTTAGGACAGATTCTTGGGAGGCACTCCCAAAAGTCTTGACAGTAGGATCATACCCAATTTGTTCTCCTTATCTTTGTTCATACAGTATTTTAACTTGTCAAAACATTTTAGATATAAATAAAGAGAACCAGGATGCTGATCAGTTGATGTCACAGTAAGCCTATCGTTGTGATGCTCAAGGTAATCTTCCTTGGAAATTCCTTTCTTTCACGAAACTAGGAAGTCGTCATTCTACAACCTGAACTATCATCCTCCACTGCTATTTTTATTTCAAAAATGCCTCTGACCACCACATGGTGAGGGAATCAAAATTTGTGGACTCTTAGTACAATGCAAGCTTCTCTGCATTGTGGCTCATGCTTTGGTAACTGAAAGTCAAGCATAACACGATGCCCGTTTCAAGCATCAGAAAGAGAATCATTGGCGTAATATTAAATTGACATGACATCAAAACGAAAAAAGCTTTATCAAACAGGGTTGCATGTGCAGCACCACTGTCTCTTTGTGGCACCAGGCATTTAAAATAAGATTCAGAATACCTTAAAACACGCGGTATATTTAACAGATTTAAACTGAAGAGATTTCATTGGTTTGATAAATCATACAAGTTCCACAAACAAAGGTCTACATACCGTACTTACTTGTTTTATTTGTTTTATCTGAATGGTGGACCAAAAAATGGAGGATCAAAAGGATTCCCAAAACAATTTATGACTGGCACTCAAAATGTGCTGTTAAACATGCATGCACATAATTTTTTCAGTTGCATACAGCACAAATAAATTAAATGTGCAATGATTATAGCTGCTAATTTTAATTTTTTTTCAAGAACTGACCTTACTCTTCAAGACAGAAACACATGTATGTGAAAAACACTTAGTTGCATGCCCCTACACCATGGCTGAAGTTTTGTTTAAAACAAGTGTTTAATATTCTCCTAATTTTGTATTCCTTCCACATGCACCAGGAAAAACATGAAGCCAGGAGAGGAAAAAGATAGAATGTCATTTGCATATTGTTTTGCTTTTCTCAGGAAACTCCAAAAGATGAGCATAGAAAGGACTATTTACGGCAGATGGCGATTGCTGCCAATGCTAGACCTGTCCAAGCAGGCATGTTAATATTACAACTTGGGAAAAAGAAAAGGGGCAGGCTTTACGGGTGTCTGGCCCAAAGCTCTCTCATTCCTAATAAGGAGTAAATTCATTCCAAAGACCCCAAGAGAAGAAATTTGAGGGTAGTGCTTCTTCATCTTTTCTAGGTAAAGGGCCCCTTTGAAAATCCGAGTAATTCTATGGACCCCTTCCTAAGCGTGGAACAATATCTTAATTACATTATTTTACCTTTTTGAAAGATTTCTCAAAGACTATACTTCAAGTACTGTACTAGAAAAGGAAGGAGTCAAAATGTTTTCAAAACAAGAAATTCTAGTCATTCCACCCTGAACGAGCAGGTTTTAACCTCAGCCACGGGCAGATGCGACCAAGCTCTGCTCCAACCCAACGAAATATCAGAACCTCTTCCTTATCTTGCAAAACATGTCGATTTAGAAGAGAAAGCAAACATGTCAGGCAAAACCCAAAGTTGGGTAGGTGGGTAGATAAATTATAGATAGACAGAAAGACAGACAAAAACGCTGTGGCACCTTAAAGACTTTCCTGCCCCCCGACCCTCCCGGCCGCGCTGAGGCGCACAAGCAACGAGCCCACGGGCCCCCTTCCACATCCCACGGTCCAGTAAATCCCGCCACCTTGCTTGTGGGACCTCTAAGGTCACTCTCGGCTGAGCGAAAAAACAGGCCCTTCTTCCACAACCGATCGTCTTGCAGGAAACAGCTTCAACGAGTACCCGTGACGTCAAAATCGTGCGCCGTGACTTCACTCTCCCCTTTCAAAAGGTCAAACCGCTGATGATTAATCGTGACTCCATTATGCCCACAACACAACGGAGATCTTCCTTCTTGGGTCCCCAACACAGAAAGGAGGAGATCCACACCTACTATTTTTTTTTCCTGGCATAAACCACCACTTCAGCCGGACCCTCTGTTTTTTTGCTGCGCAGGCGCAATTCTCAAGTGGAGGCGGGGAAACGAGGCGATGACGCAAGTTCCGCTATCTGCAGGATTCTTCGGTGTGGAAGCCGTTCTTTCCCCTCGTCTCTACGGTGTGGAGGAACGATCGCCGAATGCTTTCTCTGCGCGCATGTTGACGCCTTGCTGAGACGTGGCCGTGACTCCCCTTGGCGGAAAGCAGAAGAAGGAGGCTCGGCCGGAGCCGGCCCTGTAGGTAAGGAGAAGTCGGCCCCTGGCTCTCTCTCTCTCTCTCCTCCCCCCTTCCCGGTGTTTGCATGGTCTACGATTCAGGCCTTTTCCCCCCAATCCCATCAGAGCTTTGGCAGAACCGATCCTGGGCGCCTCTTGTTCCCAGGAAAGAGAGCTTCACGGCGGCCCACTTGCAGCCAGAGCTGTTTTGGCCTGCAGCCTCTATTCAACCGAGCCAGTGGGGGCACGCCCGTCGGGGGGCAAGTGGGACGGCTTATCCGAGGTAGAAAGCTCTGTGTGTGTGTGTGTGTGTAAAAGTTGCAACTAGAGTTGTTGTGTAGTCGTTTAGTCGTGTCCAACTCTTCGTGACCCCATGGACCAGAGCATGCCAGGCCCTCCTATCTTCCACTGCCTCCCATAGTTGTGTCAAATTCATGTTGGTTGCTTCGGAGACACTGTCCAGCCATCTTGTCCTCTGTCCTCCCCTTCTCCCCTTGCCTTCACACTTTCCCAACATCAAGGTCTTTTCCAAGGAGTCTTCTCATGAGATGGCCAAAGTACTGGCGCCTCAGCTTCAGGATCTGTCCTTCCAGTGAGCACTCAGGGTTGATTTCCTACAAAATGGATAGGTTTGTTCTCCTTGCAGTCCAGGGGACTCTCAAGAGCCTCCTCCAGCACCACAACTAGAGTAGACCCACTTGAATCAATGGAACATATGGAAGAGTTGACTCAGTACATCCCCATTGATTCATTAGGACTACTCTTCTGCAATTTACTGTGCTAAGCAGGAATCCAGGTGCCTGCCACTCCAGTGTTCTGAATTAAGATTGTTGCCTGCCTTCTTTCTCATACTCACTGCTTGTACTTCTGAATAAACTATACTAGTGTTCATATATAGTCCTTATTGCAAGCATCTTTAAAATTCATATATGAATATAGTTTTCCAAAGCAGCTAACTTCCCCTACCCCACAATTCCATTTGTTTTTGCACTTGTCTTCTGTATATTCTCTGAGCAGAGACTTTGTCTTTCCAGCTTAGTTCATTCTAATAAAAGTGGGTTTTTTTTCACTCCATTCTATTGTTCACCCAGAAAGGTTCTGAAAGTATCTCACAGCAAATATTGGCTATAAGACATGCAGAAGGAGAAGGAGTTGAGAGGAAGAAGAAAAATATCAAACAGGAGCACTAGATCTTGATATAAAGTTCAGCAGGTTATACAGCTGGATTTAATCATAAAAAAGAGTTGCTCCCCCTCTGTCTCCCTTAGATCACTGGTTCTTAACCTTGGGTTACTCAGGGGTTTTGGACTGCAACTCCCAGAAGCCTTCACCACCAACTGTGCTGGCTGGGGTTTCTGGGAGTTGCAGTTCAAAAACATCCAAGTAACAAAGGTTAAGAACCACTGCCTTAAATGACCAGTAGTTGGAGGGAGAAAGGTTTTCAGCTGCATCTCCATCCAGGTTTATACTTCTCTATTTGACAGCGTCAAAGCAGTGTAGAGGAGAAGAGAAGACTCCTTGGGAAAGACCTTGATGTTGGGAAGGTGTGAAGGTAAGAGGAGAAGGGGATGACAGAGGATGAGATGGTTGGACTGTCATCGAAGCAACCAACATGAATCTGACACAACTCCGGGAGGCAGTGGAAGATAGGAGGGCCTTGCATGCGCTGGTCCATGGGGTCATGAGGAGTCGGACACGACTAAACGACGATTTGACAGTGTGTTCTCTTCGGTGGATAGCACCCACTGATGTCATTTTATAATGTGTAACACTAATGGTTGGCTGAAAGGTCATTACGATAATGTATATCACACCAGATGTGTGTAAGAAGAATTGAAATTTGACAAATCGGATACTTGAATCATAGAAAAGTGAAGTTGGAAGGGGCCTACAAGGCCATCAAGTCCAACCCCCTGCTCAGTGCAGGAATACAATCAAAGTATATCTGCCAGGTGATCAGCTAAGTTTTTCTTGAATGCCTCCAGTGTTGGGACACTCACCAACTCCCAAGGTAACTGGTTCCACTATCGTACTGCTCCAACAGTTAGGATGTTTCTCCCGATATTCAACCGATATCTGGCTTCCTTTAACTTGAGCCCATTGTTGTGTGCCCTGCACTCTGGGATGATCAAGAACATATCTTGCTCCTCCTCTGTATGACAGCCTTTCAAATATTTGCAATTTGTCACGCCACGTATAACTAATTATATTTTTAGCTGTATTTATCTTTCAAACATTTTGTAGGCAGCCTTGAGTCCTCTTAATAGAGAGAAATGGGGGATATAAATTAAAGGAACGAATAGGATTTCTGGAAGGAAAGATGAACCAAGCTGAAGGATAGTTGAGGGGCATTCATTTAATTTGGCATCCTTAGCATGGTTTGGTGGTTAGAGTGTTCAAACCTGGACTTGGGAGGTCTAGATCATAGGTCGAGAAACAGGGGAAAATTACCCCAAATTGGGTAAAAGTGAAAATCCTGGGGGTAATGAGCAGAGTGATTAAAGTGGTAGGGAAAGCCCCCCCCCCTTCTGCGTTGGCTGTCTCTAGCACGCATATCATTGCTAGCACCGCTCTGGCAGCCATTAATGATGATTAAATCCTGTGCGAGCTAGCAAAAATTTAATGCAACTTGCTAGGCACGTTGGACACCTTACTACTCCCTATACCACACCATGGCTGGAGTGCAATGTGTTCCAGCAAAAAATAGTGCACATCTTTATCAAATCTGGTGCATCTTGCTAGTTCGGTACATCCTGTGTATATTCAATAATAGTTTTAATTCGAATAATGTATGATTTCCTTCCTTTTGAATCAAGGGGGTAATGTCAGCGTAAAAAAGTTCCCTGACCCCTGGTCTAGATTCAGATCCCAGCTGAATTGTAAAACTCATTGGATGACTTTGAGCCTGTCATCCTCTCTCTGCCTGTCCTGCCTCACAGGGCTATTATGGGGATGAAATGAGAAATACAAAAATGATGTCGGCTGCCCTGAATTCTGATGAGAATGATAGGATAAAGATGTAAGCAATGACTTACTCTAAACTAATCTCTATATGCAAAGGATGCTGTGAGGTCAAAAATGTACAAAAGATTGCGTGAATAATATTAGCATATCAAAATAGTAGCTATTATGATTCCTTTTTCTTACTTAAAAATATATTTGCCCTGAAACAGAAACTTATTTCTGGATCAGCTTAGGAAAGTGCTGTGATATATCAAAGTTATTTGAGACTTCCATTCTCTTTGAGATGCAAGATTTTTCTGGATTAAAATTGTGGGACACCTCATTCTTACACCAAAGACGACGTAAACATACCGTAATGTCTTGGTCAGTTCTTAGAATGGTCGACATTGCATTCTTTGCAATGTCAGTACATCCCAGTTAACATTGCTTATCAGTGTCTTGCCATCCACTTTGCTTTGATGATGGTTGGGTGGTGCTGAGGATCCTGGCATTCTGCAGTGCTTATGTGTAATTGATGTGGGAGAAAGGACTTATTAGGCTTCTTTGGTGTGATTTTGTCACTGCTCTCAGACTGAGCAGGAAAAGAAGAATGAAACATGCAGAGGGTCTCAATTTCTTCAAGACTGTAGGCTAATAAATGTATTATTTAAACATTTATTTATTTATTTATTTATTTATTTATTTTATCTAGACTGAAGTCTACTCTGGGTGGCTAACTACAATACATAAAAGTAAAAGCAATTTAAAATAAAAACAACAGTATTAATATCATTCAAGGCGGCAAAAAATAGATTAGGTAACAGGAGGGAAGGCCTGCCTAAAGTGCCAGGTCTTAAGTTTGCTCTTAAAAACACCATTCAAGGTGGCAAAAAATAGATTAGGTAACAGGAGGGAAGGCCTGCCTAAAGTGCCAGGTCTTAAGTTTGCTCTTAAAAACACCCAGCGCGGGATCCTGGCAGATTTCTAAGGGTAGACTGTTCCAGAGGTGAGAGGCCACCGCTGAAAAGGCCGGGTTTCTTGTTCTTTCTGTCCGGCCCTCCCTTCTTTCTATTAGGCCCCTCAGCTACCCCTCCTGGCTAGAACAAGTGATTTGGGTAGATCTAGGTGGGAAGAGGGTTGCGCTAGATACTTATGCTCTTAAAATTAAGTATACTTATACAGTACTCTTAAAAATACTTATACTCTTTTTCTTCTCTTGTTCAAGACTGCTAAGAAAAAGAATGAAAATAAAGTCAGAATGAACCACAATAAATAACAAGATTAAAATAAAGTAAAGCCCATGGAAAACAGCAAGGAGGAAGAGCATAGGTCAATTCCCAGTACAGTGGACCCTCGACTTACAGACGGCTCGACTTACAGACTTTTCGAGTTACAGACGTCTCTGGCTGCAAAATTTAGATTCGACTTGCAGCCAGAGAATCGACTTACAGACCAGAAAAAAACAAAAAAACAAAATGGAATAAAAATAGAATAAAAACCACTGGTTATGGGATTAATCGGTTTTCAGTGCATTGTAGGTCAATGGAGATTCGACTTACAGACTTTTCGACTTGCAGCCACCATTCCAATACGGATTAATTCCTTAAGTAGAGGGTCCACTGTATATTCTCTGTAAGGATGTCCAAAAATTGGATATGGCAAAAGATAAGGCCTTGTCCCAACCAACCGTAGACTAGGAACTGATAAGAACACTTCTGTAAATGATCCAAATAATTGACAGTGGTCCAATAATGTTGTAACTTGGGCATATGTCACCATGGACGCACCAGAAATGGGTGTTCCTGGTGCAGCAGCCTAAAGTGGGCACACACATTTGTGCCACTGCTGTACATGTATGCCCAGTGTCAGATTTGAATGCAGAAGATGCATGCAAGATGGCTTTACTTTTCATGATATTTTTCAGCTTTCACCACATAGACTTTAGGAATCTTAGCTATATGGATGATGTAATCGGTGGAATTGAGTACTTCTCTGTAATGGAAAGATAGACTAAAATGGTAATAAATAAAAATAAAATATTGTGTAAGTTTTATTTGAGGTTGTTTGTTATTGTGATTAAAAACACATCTCCTGCAACTGCATAATTTATGGTGGAATGTTATTCCTTATTGTTTTTAAGGTGGGTTTAGAAGTATCGTTAAATTATTAATATTAGAATATATGCAGAATATTGTAAAGGTTATATTAAAATTGCTTTTAATGTTGTAATTTACTGGCTGATATCCTGTTCCCATAAGTTATGAGGATGATGACATCAGCATGGATGATTTCTTTCAGAAAAAAAGCATTTTAAGTTTCTCTCCTTGAAGTCCTGAGGTTTCTGTGGAATCTCTTTCATTGTATAGGCCAAGGGATGGGGGGAGGGAATATTTAATTAGCAAAAAATAGCCTCCACAAGTACAACAGTGGCCGGTTTTGGTTGTTAAAGACTTTCCTCTCCTGTCCCATGACCCCAAACAGCTTCTGGACAGTGAAATTGATTCCACAAGGAGCCACAGGACCTTCAGGGAATAACAATTAAACATACTTTCTTTCCAAAAATATTCCACATTTCCTGCTGATATAACTTCTACAACAGGATTTCAATCATTGTGGGTTTTTTTCATATTTTTTAATTGTTTGTGAGACATTTTGGATCCTTATAATAAGAGAAAGGAAGCATAGATCTAAAATAAATTATAGAATCATAGAATAACTGGGTTGGAAAGGGCCTATAAAAGCCATTGAATCCAACACCCTGCTCAATGCAGGAATCCAAATCAAAGCAGATCAGACAGATGGTTGTTCATTTTTTTTCTTGAATGCCTCCGACATTTCTATATAAATAAATAAAATTATTGATACACTTTTTCTTCATCTAATTGTTTTACAGTCAGTTTCAAACCACTCTAATTTTTAACATGTGTATACAGTGGACCCTCAACTTACTGAATTAATCCGTATTGGAACGGTGGCTGCAGGTCAAAAAGTCTGTAGGTCGAGTCTCCATTGACCTACAATGGATTGAAAACCCATTAATCCCCTAACCGGCCGTTTCTGTTCCATTTTTGTTCCATTTTTGTTTTTTTCTGGTCTGTAGGTCGAGTCTCCGGCTGCAAGTCGAACCTAAATTTTGCAGCCAGAGAAGTCTGTAACTTGAAAAGTCTGTAAGTCGAGGGTCCACTGTACACTAAATGTAAGCTATATGTCTGTTATCTGCCCCCTCCCTGACATGCTAGTTGGATGTGGACTTGAGTCTGTCTTGATACTGTAATTAAAATAATGTGTAGCTTCTAAAATGCCTAATGTTTAAGCCTCCAAGTGTATTTACCACAAATACATTTACAATTTACATCAAACCCCATTTTGCTTGAAAGCGTAGGCTGCCGTACTTCGCAGAAATAAGAGTGAAAGGTATTGATCTCAGAGGTTTGCTTTTGAGTTGAATGTCTTGCACCAAGGGCCATAACATATAGCATTGTTGTTCAGATGGTTTAAGTGATCCAGTGCAAGTTACAGGCTGTAGAATCTGAAAATGATTGCTAAGAGTGATGATGTGAGTTTTCAGCAAAAAAAAAAAAAAGAGTAAACATAGAATCTGAAAATGATTGCTAAGGGTGATGATGGGAGTTTTCAGCAAAAAAAGAGAGTAAACTGTAAATTTTCTACTGCAAATAAACAGAGTTCTGATTTAGTATAGGTGTTTGTTTAGCTGGGTGGCCATTTGTGGTAAGTGGATTGGCTAGCTGTGCATGGTGGGTCCAAAGGGCCCGGCTTCCTATGGTGGAGAGGAATACAAACAGTCCATCTCTAGTGGAGGCAGATTTGAAAAAAAAATGCATTTATTTATTTATTTATTCAGGACATTTATAATCTGCCCTATATCCTAAGAGCATAGAGTGAAGTACAACAATAAAAACACTAAAATAATTCAGTATTTTAAAACTATTTAAAACACATTTAAAACATTAGAAACTACATACAGATGAAAAACAATGAAGAAGCTTCTTCAGCCTGTTAAAGCCATGATCCTTTATCCTTTAAGGCAGGACATAGATGTCAAGTTCAAAGGCAATGTTATATGAAAACTAGTTTTATTGCACTATTTGTTCTTATTTTAAAACATGTCAGGTCAAAAGCTTTACAGTATTTATATTTTAAAAGCACTATCATATCCATGTTTACTCACAAGTGCCCATTTAAATTGTGCTGATTGATTGATTTTACAAAAAAAAGTGTTTCTAAGAGTAAAAAAGGCTATGGAAAAATACGTAATTAGTGGAAAAGGGCCAATTTGGGGGGGGGGAACCCTCTGATTTAACTGTGAGTAGCATAAAGAGATGCCCATAGAGGGCCTTCCTTTCTTTTAGTCTAGTTTTTTTTTAACAAAACTAAAGATGTTAACGAGAAGTATTGGCAGAGAAGGAGAGGCAGAGTTTACAGTTCATTTCCCTGTGCAGAGTACTCACTGCAGCAACTGCACTGCAAAATTTTTATTGGCAGTATAATATAGTCTATGCATGGTTACTGTAGTAGTTACTGAGGTGAAAAAGGACTGCTGATACTTACAAATAAAGGTGTGCAGATTCAGAGAAGGTGAACAAGGATGATCAGGGAACTGGAAACTAAGCCCAGTGAGGAGAGACTGAAAGAGCTGGGCACCTTTAGCCTTGAGAAAAGAGGACTGAGGAGAAATATGGGAGCACTCTTTAAATACTTGAAAGGAGGAGGGCAGGATCTGTGCGTCTAGAGGGCAGGATCCCTGGCTGTGGAGCTGGAGGTTGAAAGTTCAATTCCCCACTCTGCCTCCTTGACATGGGCTGGACTTAATGATCCATAGGGTCCCTTCCAGCTCTGCAGTTCTAAGATGATGGTACATCAGGACATAATAATGTTTCAAGTTACAGGAAGATGACTTTTGGTTGAATATCAGGAAAAACCTCCCAGTTTTATCTCATCTGCATTACCATATAATCAATGCTTGCCATGTAAGTGGAGCAGTAGAAGTTTCCTAATATTCAAAGGCTCACTGAAAAAAATTCTACCTTTGGTCCAGTTGTTTCCAGAAAAACCTCATTGTTCTGACCTAATTCATAAGACATTTGTGCATCGTGTGAAATTTTCCTAAATTGTAACAAAAATCATTTATACACTTAGGGTATGGTGTGGTCATGTCCCAAAAGGAGAACGAACCTTTGAGAGAAGATTCTTGTGAGCCTGTTGAAAATGATGAGAAGGCAGAGAAGGCTGAGCCTACTGAGCCTGATGGTGTGGAAGCCGAGCCTGTGTCTATGACACGGAAAAGACCTGAAGCTAAATCCTCTGAGAATGCTTCTTCATCAGAGCCCCCGAGCCCCCGAGAAAAGGTATCTGCGTCAAACATTCTATTGGTGGGTTTTCGCTTCCTGTATAATGTTGATTTTCTTTATATTCTATGATCATTACAAGTCTAGGAAGATGAGAAACCAACTTTGAATTTGATGATATGAAACTATAAGAAGCAAATACTTATTTTAGGGGTGTTCTTTGTATGAAGTTGTAGATGGCACCACTAATAGAATGCTGGTCATTCTTATAGAAAAGTGTTTAATGGATAATTGATACATTTAATTTTTCCCCACAATTTGTCATGCTTTTGACTTTTCTACATGCAAATGAGATACAAGTGGTGAAGAGCAGGGTTGCAAGGTTTGATCGTTTCTGTCATGCAAGAAAACCGAGAAAGCTAGCCTTAGTGGAATTGTAAGTTTGTAAGGGTTATTATAAATGGTTTACTTTGAGGCATTTGAACTCATTGAAAAGAATACTGCAGAGGCTGGTGTTTGTTCCTTCCTTTGATGTTTGACTACATGTGTTTGTACATGAAATATTAGTCTTGTCTTCCAGAGAAAAACCATAACAACGATTGTACGGTTTGGTTTGTCACCAGTTCTGTAGATTTTTAAAAATCATTTTATTAGATTTATACCCCGCCCATCTAGACAGATAGTCTGGACGGCATAACAAAATTTAAAAACAATAAAACCAGTAACATGTACAAATCCAAGATGTAAAAATATAGATAATAAAATACAGCAGGAGGGAAAGCCTGCCTATATAGCCATGTCTAAAGACACCCAGAGAGGGAGCCAGGCAGATCTCTAAGGGCAAGCTGTTCCAGAGGCGAGGGGCCACTGCCAAGAAGGCCTGGTTCCTCGTTCTTTCCTTCTGGGCCTCCCTTGGCGTTAGGCCACTCAGTCGCCCGGCCTGGCTAGAATGAGTGTCTCTGGTAGAACTGGAGTGTCTCTGGTAGATGTAGAAAACGTTTTATCCTGCCTAGAACCTTGACATACAACAGGTTATTGCTTTATTGTTTATATTTCTAACATTTCCCAAGTAAACAGGATATTATTTAATTTTTTTAACTTGTATTCAGCATTTGCAGCCAAACATTTAAGGCAGCAACCATCAAGCATACATAATGTGGCAGTATGAACAGGAATACAGTACTGTATTTCTAATCCTCCTAGAATGTTTTGTGATAATCTAGATTAAGACTGCCATAAAAAAATTCTTGGAGGATTAAAAACACAGTATTTCTGTTTTCTTTATAGTTTTTCCTGGCTAGGAGTCAGTTTCAGTAAATAAGGGCATTGAATTTCAAAGTTACAGTCATGAGATTGGTCACCTACTTTTCTTTTCCACTTAAAGGACACTAGTTTCTCAGATGGATCACGAACAGGATGGGAATACTGGGGGAACTGGGGAAAATCCTTGCTTTCCACTGCTTCGGCTACAGTGGCTACAGTAGGTAAGGCTTATGAAAATGTGAGGATGTACTCTGGATCTTGAAATTAAAATCAAATGGTCTTGACTCAGGATTGCTTCTTCTCTGTTTTTTATTTTTTTTAGCTAACCATAGTAAATACAAAGTGTTTTGTTGAAAATACAGAAGAAAAATAAGCAGAGATAGTGTCACTATCAGAGATAGTGTCACATGTAGAGTGTATACGAATTCTTACCAAATACTTTCTCTCAAAATGTATGGGACAAAAGAGGTTATCACAAGAATTTTAATTTAAGCTTATAGCTCGATCAAATCGTGCCTTGTAGGGTGTTGTTGTTTTTTTCCAAGTGCAGCATACTGACCAGAACAGTTCTATCTTATTGACTGACCTTTGCTTCTTTGGTGAACTAATTTCTTTTCTCCTTAGGAGTAAACTAATATTCTCTGTTTTATCTAGGTTATGGAATCTCAAACGTCATTGAAAAGGCAGAGACATCCCTTGGGATCCCTAGCCCTACTGAATTTTCTTCTGAGGCCAAAGATTCTGCAGAAGGTTAGATCTTATTAAACCTATTTTATTAACAATAAAATCTGCTGGAAGGTTGCCACCTGTGTTACTATGGATGATGGTGCTATTACGTATTTCTCACTTGAGGAATCCTGTCACACACTGCTAGAGAAACGAGCCATCTCACTGACATTGCTTAATTTGTGAGCTGTAAGGCCCTCCAAAATGTTGCTGCTGCCCTCTTCTCCTGCCAGACTCTCCCAAGAAGAATGACAGCTCCAAGCTAATTCATCAAAGAGGCTCAGACATTGTTGTAAACTTGTACAGGATCCTGTGGTATAGTTGCCTCAGAAAGGTTTCTCTTTATGCTCCGTCTCTGCTGTGTGTGTCATTACTGATTCTAACCCAGGGAAAAATGCATGTCTTGTATCGTAAGATTGTATGTGCTCCTACTGGCTGGTAGCCAGATCATGTTCCCCAAGGGGCTTTGGGCTTGTTTGGGAATAGCACCTCCCAAATGGTGCACACTCTTGCCAAAGTAGAGTCCTAAACCACATATTTTGAACCATGTGACCCCCAGATTCTGTTTTTGTTTGGACAACTGCAGTTTGTAATTCTTAAACCCCATTATCTTTTTTTAAAAGAAAATCAAAATTCTGAAGAAAGCAGCAATGACAAAGGAGAGACTGAAAATTCTTCACCTGTTAGTGGTGCATTTGGAATGTTTTCTACCATCTCTGCTGCTGTTCAGACCACAGTGAGTGAGATTAAAACGGGAATATAGTAATATTGTCTTAGCTTATTATCTGGTAGCCTTTGTTCTGTTGTTTCTTCATGCTGAAGTTGCTTCACAACTGGTCATTAAGTGTTTAATCATTTACATAGTGCCGTGTATTATTTATGACAATTAATAAGTAATCTGTTGTTTATTGGTAAGAAGTCTGGAGCCTGTTTATGTTAGGAAAAATATCAAATCAAAGGATCTGAATAGTAATAGACATTTTAGCTTTCAGATACAAGATATGGTAAAGGTATTATGGTACTTACTAAAGAAGGATTTCCTGTTACATTTTAAATACTTCAATGCCAATGTGATTTCTTTAATCTCTGTTTGATGTTTAAATATGTTTAGTTGTCAAAGAGCTAAAGGAAAACACATAAGCAGTAGCAAAAGATGTGCCATTTGATACTTTGTGAAATGTGCTAACAATTCATTAGATACTAATGTTCAGGCGGTAGGACTGGCCAAAATTTTATATCATTTGCAGAATAAAAACCCTAATGAAGTCCACTTCAACTCATATACTGTATAATCAAACCCTTAAAAAATTCAACATGTAAGCTGCTAAAATAAAAAATAAGATATAAATAGACAAAGATTAGCTAAAAGCACATTACACTTTAATTAGCCAAATACATGCTAGAATAAATAAAAATGTATAGATTGTCCCACTGCCAAGGGAGGCTAAGCTCTTTCTTGTATTCTTCACCTATCTCTTACCTCCTGCTCATAGTGATAAATAAAATCTATCCTGAACTTTGAGTATTTGCTTCCCAGAACTTTCAATAAGTCACTGTGTTTCATGATAAGCTTATGCTTCCTTCAAGTTTAATTTTGATTTTTTGTTTTTATAGGGGAAAACAGTTATTAGTGGAAGTTTAGATGCATTAGAATTCATTGGCAAGAAGACCATGGATGTGATTGCAGAAGGTGACCCTGGGTTTAAGAGAACAAAAGGTTTAATGAACCGAAATTCCACACTTTCTCAGGTACTGGCTTCATATAAACTCCAATACAACAACAAATGCTTTCCCCCCTCATTTCCCCCAGTTAAAAATGTTTAAACCATGCAACTGTGCAGAATGGAGCATCAAATATTCATGTCTTGACCTTTTCCTTTTTTTTAATTCATTTTTTTCTTCCAACAGTTTTAATGCTTCAGTTTTTCTGTTTGTAGATCTTGCGAGAAGCAAAGGAGAGAGAAGAACAGCAGACATTAACCGAGGTTTCCATGGCTACAGAGAAGAAAGCCCATTATGGGCTACTCTTTGATGAGTTTCAGGGTCTTTCTCATCTCGAAGCCTTAGAGATGCTTTCCAGGGAGAGTGAATCAAAGGTAACGGCCTTCAGCAATTTACTTTTTTCTTTTTTACAGCTGTAGAGGAATAAGGATCAGTATCTGTATAAAATTTGAGAGATTGCAAGCACCAATAAATGTAAAAGCAGAGGAAATGGTCTTCTGCTCTCCCCTGTTCTTCCTTTCCTCTTTGTCTAGTGTACTGTCAAATAAAAGCTTTCTCGATCTTTGTTGCCCTGACTTGTTCCTCAACTTGGCAATCGAGAGTAAGAAAAAAAAAATCAGTGGAATTGTGAGATATGATGGGTTTGATCCTTCTGTTTCCTTGTGGAGTGGAGACTGTATGCAAACGCTATGCACCCCTTCTCAAAAAGAAAATTCCTTTTGCTAGGCAGTCTGTCATAAGTGCTGTTGCCTCAAATTTAGCATCAAGTATAAAGCTAGAGGTTGTTTCTGTGGCTTTCTTCCCTTCATTTAGGTGAAGTCAGTTACGAGCACACTCTCTGGAGAGGAGCTAGATATGTTAAAGGCAGAATTGGAACAACTCAAAGAAGCATTTTCCTTAGCTGAATTTTGTGATGATGAAGAGGAAGAAAAAAAAGGTAATTTTGAAAATCCCATTGTTCAAAAGTACAAAAGGCAAACCTTGAAAAAAACTGAATGGCAAACTAATCTCTTTGTTGATATATGTGCTGTACTGACACATGAAAGGAAGAAAAATGATAATAAGAGCAGGCCTAGTGAGTTGTGTTAGTTGTGCACCTAGCCTTCTGTGTCTGACAGTTGCCAATTCTCTGGAATCTTTGGAAGAATAACTGATTGGCAGAGTCAGGAACTGAGTGATATCTGCACGTGTAATTTTTCTAGGTGAATGCCCTTGCCAAGATTATGAATGCTCATTGACCTCTTGATTAATCATGAGTACTGTTCATTGCTTTTACATTTGTGTCCTCCCGCTTCCTCCAGTAAGTTCTTGATTGAGCACACCGAGTTATCTTATTTTTTCCTTCAGAACAAACAACCCTGCAAGGTAGGTTAGGATTCAGTGAGTAGTTAGTTCAAAGTGAATCACTGAACAAAGTGACTCAGTGGACATTTGAGTCCAGTCCTCTCTGCTCCACACCTAAATATGTGCCCATTGTGTGATTTTAGTGTCATCGGGGTTGTATTTGGTGTATGAATTCCTCTAGTTGGATATTGCTTGATACTCTGGACATGAGTATTCTTGAGTCTGTGATTGTATGCTTACAGTTGTGTTCAAAATTATTCAGCCCCCAATGCTGTAAAGGGGTTTAGGGACTATAGTGTACATTTGGAATTGTATTCAGAATGAAATCCTACAAGGACGTTTTAAAGAACCAAATGCAACTAAAATAACATCAATTGTTTATGTAATACAGTAGTAAATGTTTCTTTTGTGGTGTCTTCATTGCCACAATTATTCAACCCCTTAAAGACTACCACTCTGAAGAAGAGAGGTTCATTCAGGTGTTTTCGAACAGGTATTGAAAACACCTGTGGATGTCACCGAGCACCAATCAAGCATAATAAGCACCAATTAGGCAGCTTTAAAATGACTGTGATACTCAGCTCCTTCTAGACATTTACTGGTGTGGTTACAAACATGGTGAAGTCAAGAGAATGGTCCAGGAAGACAAGAGAAGAGGTGATTTGTCTTCACAGGAAGGGCAATGGCTATAAGAAGATTGCAAAGAAGTTAAACATACCAAGAGACACCATAGGAAGCATCATTCGCAAATTCAAGGCAAAGGGCACTGTTGAAATGCTACCTGGTCATGGAAGAAAGAAGATGCTGACTTCGACTGCTGTGCGCTACCTAAAGCATAGAGTGGTGAAAAGTCCCCGTGTGACTGCTGAGGAACTGAAAAAAGATTTGTCAGATGTGGGTATAGAAGTTTCAGCTCAGACAATAAGGCGCACACTGCGTAATGAAGGTCTCCATGCCAGAACCCCCAGGCGCACCCCCTTGCTGTCTCCCAAGAATAAGAAGAGTCGACTGCAGTATGCCAAAAGTCATGTGGGCAAACCACAAAAGTTGTGGGATAGTGTTCTGTGGACTGATGAAACAAAATTAGAACTGTTTGGGCCCATGGATCAACGCTATGTTTGGAGGAGGAAGAACAAGGCATATGACGAAAAGAACACCTTGCCTACTGTGAAGCATGGCGGAGGGTCAATAATGCTTTGGGGCTGTTTTGCTTCTGCAGGTACAGGGAAGCTTCAGCGTGTACAAGGTACCATGAATTCTCTTCAGTACCAGGAGATATTGGATGAAAATGTGATGCAGTCCGTCACACACCTGAGGCTTGGGAGACGTTGGACCTTTCAACAGGACAATGATCCCAAGCATACCTCCAAGTCCACTAGAGCATGGTTGCAGAGGAAAGGCTGGAACATTTTGGAGTGGCCATCGCAGTCACCAGACTTAAATCCGATTGAGAACCTCTGGTGGGACTTAAAGAAAGCAGTTGCAGTGCGCAAGCCTAAGAATTTGACTGAACTGGAGGCTTTTGCCCATGAAGAATGGGCGAAGATACCCGTAGATCGCTGCAAGACACTTGTGTCAAGCTATGCTTCACGTTTAAAAGCTGTTATAACTGTAAAAGGATGTTGTACTAAGTACTAAGATTGAATGTCACTTGGGGGTTGAATAAAAACTAATAATGATGTGAGCACAGAAAAGACATTTGTGGTTATTTCATTATAAACTTAAGGTTATATTTCTCTGACCTACAAGTGCCTCTTTCATGTAAATATAAGCAAGATGACTGAATGATCAAAATCAATGTCAAAATGGCCAAAACATCCAATTTCAGTGGGGGTTGAATAATTTTGAACACAACTGTAAACAGTAATAGAAATCATACTAGAAAAGAAGGTGATAAAGTTTTAATATTGCAAACTGAGGACACTGCGTTAGAAACTAAGAGGCAAAGGGGACATTTGGACCTCCAGGTGTTGTTCCAGTGAGCACTCAGAGTTGATTGATAGGTTTGTTCTCCTTGCAGTCCAGGGGACTCTCAAGAGCCTCCTCCAGCACCACAATTCAAAAGCATCAATTCTTCGGTGGTCTGCTTTCTTTATGGTCCAGCTCTCACTTCCATACATCACTACAGGGAAAACCATAGCTTTGACTATTCGGACTTTTGTTGGCAAGGTGATGTCTCTGCTTTTTAGGATGCTGTCTTGGTTTCTCATCACTTTCCTCCCAAGAAGCAGGCGTCTTTTAATTTCATGGCTGCTGTCTCCAGCTGCAGTGATCATGGAGCCCAAGAAAGTAAAATCTGTCACTGCCTCCATATCTTCCCCTTCTATTTCCCAGGAGGTGATGGGACCAGTGGCCATGATCTTCGTTTTTTTTTTATGTTCAGCTTCATACTGTTTTTTGCACTCTCCTCTTTCACCCTCATTACAAGGTTCCTTAATCCCCCCTCACTTTCTGCCATCAGAGTGGTATCATCTGCATATCGGAGGTTGTTGATATTTCTTCCGGCAATCTTAATTCCGGCTTGGGATTCCTCCAGTCCAGCCTTCTGCATGATGTATTCTGCATATAAGTTGAATAAGAAGGGGACAACTTACAGCCTTGTCGTGTTCCTTTCCCAATTTTGAACCAATCAGTTGTTCCATATCCTGTCCCACATATAGGTTTCTCAGGAGATAGATAAGGTGGTGAGGCACTCCCATTTCTTTAAGGACTTGCCATAGTTTGTTGTGGTCCATACAGTCAAAGGCTTTTGCATAGTCAATGAAGCAGAAGTAGATGTTTTTCTGGAACTCTCTGGCTTTCTCTATAATCCAGCGCATGTTTGCAATTTGGTCTCTAGTTCCTCTGCCCCTTCGGAATCCAGCTTGTACTTCTGGGAGTTCACGGTCCACATACTGCTGAAGCCTACCTTGTAGGATTTTGAGCATAACCTTGCTAGCTTGTGAAATGAGTGCAATTGTACGGTAGTTGGAGCATTCTTTGGCACTGCCTTTCTTTGGGATTGGGATGTAGACTGATCTTTTCCAGTCCTCTGGCCACTGTTGAGTTGTCCAAACTTGCTGGCATATTGAATGTAGCACCTTAACAGCATCATATTTTAAGATTTTAAATAGTTCTACTGGAATACCATCACCTCCACTGGCCTTGTTGTTAGCCAAGCTTTCTAAGGCCCACTTGACTTCACTCTCCAGGATGTCTGACTTACCATTCATACTTTTTGTTCTTTTGCTTTCAGAAGAGGGAGACTTCACAAAAGAAATATCTGACATTTTTTCTCAACTACGTGTCTCTACAAAGCCAGCCAAACTGACCCAAGTGAGTGAGTTTTTTGTCCTTTCTTGGCTTGTTAGTGTTTTCTTTGGAATTTATGCAACATGGAGGGTAGCATTTCCTAAGCTTTATTCCTCATTAACAGGAACTGGAAGTATTAAGGGGAACTTCGAAAGTTCAAATGTCTGGTACAGTACTGCGAATCTTCTGCTCTTAACAACATAAACCCCTCAGGTGGTTTCTGTACTTGAATTAGTACACTTTCAAAAGGCCATGAGGGACGTGGTGGTGCTGCGGGCTAAACCACAGAAGCCTGTGCTGCAGGGTCAGAAGACCAGCAGTCGTAAGATCGAATCCACGCGACGGAGTGAGCTGTCACTTGTCCCAGCTCCCGCCAACCTAGTGGTTCGAAAGCATGCAAATGCAAGTAGATAAATAGGGACCACCTCGGTCCCTATTTATCTACTTGCATTTGCCTTAGACACGGTAACAGCGTTCCGTGTCTAAGTCGCACTGGCCATGTGACCACGGAAGATTGTCTTCGGACAAAACGCTGGCTCTACGGCTTGGAAACGGGGATGAGCACCGCCCCCTAGAGTCGAACATGACTGGACAAAAATTGTCAAGGGGAACCTTTACCTTTACCTTACCAAAAGGCCATGGCCTTTTGTTTCCTGAATTTCATTTTTGACATATTGGCTTATTTCTTAGATTTCATGTGGTAAAAGTTTAAAGAGCTGTGAGCTTGAGTAGGCAGATTGAGTTCGTTCTTCAGTGAAATGTGATTACTTTTGCTTTGGATCAACCGTGTTCTCTTTTTCTCTTGCAGTAATTTGCAGAGCCAGTGAGTGGCACTGCATTCCAAAATCAGATTTAAGTTCTTGCTCATCATGAGCCACCTTCTATTTTAATACATTTGGTATTCAGTATGGAGGAGAAATACTTGTTTTAAAAGATGTACTTATAGAATCTTAATCGACCACGTGATTCTAAGAATTCAGATAACCCTTTTTCGAAACTTGTGTCTTCACACGTTTGTTTCTGTATTTATTTTTAAATTATATAAGTGGCCCTAGGATATGCCTCATTAAAGCAAAATAGTTACTAAAAATGAAAGATCAGGAATTTACATTTAGAACTAAATAACATATTCACAACAGTCTCAGACTAAAAACTCAACCACTGATCAGCTGACATCTGGCCAATTAATATAAGTTATTTTCTAACATTTAATTCTCTGTTTTTGATGTTCAGTTTGTGAGTGCTGAGAAGAAAGCACCACCCATTTGTAAGGGATATATGACTGAGCTTGTAGAAGTATGGAAAAACTGTGAGGGGGAAAATCCTAAGGACAGGGGGAGATGCCGCAAAGTGGTACAGTGAGGACTGAACAAGGTGTGGGTTTCAGTAGTAAAGGGGAAATGAAATGGCAGAATCACTGCAACATATTGTTAAAGTCCCATGGGCAAGCTAGTTCCTGACACTTGCTGGAGCATGTTCAAGAAATGGAACCTTGGATGGGGTCATACAGGTAAAAGCAGGCTTCATTCTTGATGACTGAAATCATTGAAGTAATGAGAAGGCTGGTGCCTAAAAAGCACACCTTTATTTCCTCAAGTACTGTAGTTGAATAGTGGGTATTTATTCATGTGAGGAAAAGGGACACTTTTGTTGGAGGGACACATTTACCATTTTCTCTTTCCTTATGAGTGTTTTTTTCCCCTTCTGGAAATAGTCTTAGTGCTTCTCAAAGATTTCCATTCTAGCTTCACTCAGATCTCTAGGGAAGAGAATTACTTTTGCAAAAATATGAGCTTCTTAGTGGTTCATTGAGAAGCTCAGTAGGCCTCTAACTTCTCATTGTCATCTTAAAGGAATGGAAACCATGATTGTTCACTTCACATGTGTGGATGCATTCCATCTGCAGCTTGAACAGAATCATGCTTCCTCTCATTTCATGTAACATGCTGATGTGCCTCTATTTCCTTTTGGACAGGCAAGGAACTCTGCTTGTGACTTGGTTAAAAATCTCAATGTGCAGACTGTACAACCAGGAAGGCAAAAGGAAGGAGACCAGCAGCTGAGTTCAGGGGATTATGAACCAGAGGATAAAAAATCAGTAGAGGTAATAATTTCAACCTGAAGAATATTGCTATGAAATCTAGCAATAGATGGACAGATTATGTTTTCTGTGCATGGCACGTTTGGGTATGGTTGGATGGGAAACTGATATAAAGGTGATCCTCCTCCTCCTCCTATGATGATGATGATGATGAAACACCAGGCACCATCAAAATTATAAAAACATTGACTGATATAACAGAAACAAGTTTTAACTAAAAATCTAAGTATCTGTTAAATATCGGCGCATTATGTATGCTCTTCCTGATATTGCCATTTTTTGTAGCTCTGATGATGTGATTTCTGATTCAGTTCTGCAACTGCTTATAGTACTGTGTGAAATTTCTTGATATTATTCCCAAAGCCCAGGTGACTATGGGGACCACTGAAGTGTGTTTCTTCCAGAGGCGAAATGTTTCGATTGTTAGGTCTCTGTACTCTGTACCTCTGGAATTGCAATGTCAGTGATCCAGACATTTCTTTGTTCTATGACTACTATGTCTGTGTGTTATGACTGTGTATTATGTTTAAGGTGTCTATCCACTTGGATGTGGAAATCCCACAAGATCTTGGCTTCCTCGTTTTCTGAAACCTTCTCTACTTGATCTTCCCATGGTTTTCTGATACTGTTTCCAACCTTTGCAGGATATTCACGCATTTGCTATCAGAAGTCTGGCTGAATTGACAGCTTATTCCATTGAAGTGTTCCATAAAACTGCTGCATTGATTCTTCATGGTCAGAAAGAAGATGTGTTGGCCATAGACCGAGCCAAAGCCCTTTCACAGTAAGACTGATGACTCTTGTCCACATGGTCGTGTAGGGTTCAAATTACAGCATGCTGTGTATTGCCTTTGGTAGGATCTGTTCATGGTTCTCATAATAACACGATTTTAGACCAAACTGTAGTTGGTGCTTAGACCAGGATGTTTTTTTTTCACTGCCCACATCCCAATCAAATGTACTGACATATGCCATATTGTTGAACGAAAGACTGGGCTGCAGTGGACACAGGCTACTTAATACATCTGTAGAGTTTGTCATTGAAAATCATGTCACTGCACACCACCCCTTGTGCTGATTTTTGAGTTGCATAAACCCAGCACTACTAGCTTTCTGCTCCAAATTATTCATCCTCAACAAGATTTTCAAATCCTACTCCCTCCCCTCCAGGGGCGTGGGGGATTTCAAATATATAGCTGAAACCATACAAAGGTAAAAGTTGTTTACATGGGAGGAATTTTTGAAGCAGAGAGAGGGGGGGGGCTTGGGAATAGGCTAAGGACCCATTTCCATTTTTCAGATCCAAAGTGCCCTTTTCAAAGTGAAACAAAAATATTTTCCTGCTATGAAAAGGCCATCAGGGTAGTTTTATCTGTAACAGTCTAATTTGGCCCCGAGTTTGCAGGTAGTGATGGAGAAGTCCAATAGATGAGTCAATACCATGCAAATTCAAGCTGTGACCTTTGAAGTGAATGGGCCTCCTTGATCCTATTTCAGAAGCCATCTGGAAGCAGTCAGTAAAGATCTCTGGGAAAGCAGAACTGTCTCATCTCAGGCAGCAGGATGGAAAGTGAAGAGAGAGAGAGAGAGGAGAAAGGGGCTGAAAGAGAGGAAAGTGGTGGTCCCAAATACTTTTGCTTACGCCCTGTTCACTTCACCTGCTTGTGTCTTGCCTGCTGTCCATGTGCAACCTCGTGCTGCGACAAGCATAAACTTCTGAGGCTTCCGGTATTCCTGCAATTGAAATCATACCCATATGGCCATAGTAATTAGGCCTTCTTGTGATTCCACAGGATCTCAAAGCTGCTTAAAGGGTATCTTTTATGTTTGAGAATAAGGGCTTTAATTTTTCTCCCCACTCAAAAGAGTAATTGGTGGCACATACAGATTTGCCTCCTGAGGAGATAAGAGGTCGGATCGTGGGGATAGTGTATACAAGTTATTTCTGTTCTTTCAGTCATGTGTTGTGAATTTTCTGGGTTGTAAAATCTCAGATGACTGGCATACACTATTTTTACAGAAAGAAACTGGCTAAAATCCAATTACATACACTGCCATAAGTGCAATGGTGTAAATTCCAGTGGTGATTAGCTGATAGTTAAGAGTTGTTGCTTCTGTTCCTCTTCATGCTTCAGTTTACCTGACTTGGCACATGATGAGGAATGCAAACACTGATTCTTGAAATAGTAACAGTTCTCTGCTATGATTTACACTGCTGCTCTGATGCCAACGTATGTAAGTAATAAGATTTTGGACATTATACCTAAGCAAAGTTATGGATTGGATAGATCACCTGGTTTATAGCTTGGTAATAATCTGATAAACATAATACTGACAACTTGGTTCTTGTGGGTAGCTCCTATTCTATTTATATGTAAATCCCCTTTTGTTTGTTTATGAATATTTATTGAAAAGTAATACCGTATTTGCCGGTGTATAAGGCGACTGGGTGTACAGTGGACCCTTGACTTACAGACGGCTTGACTTACAGACTTTTTGAGTTACAGACTTCTCTGGCCGCAAAATTTAGGTTTGACTTGCAGACTGAGATTTGACTTACAGACCAGAACAAAACCAAAATGGAACAAAAACGGCCTGTTACAGGATTAATCGGTTTTCAATGCACTGTAGGTAAATGGAGACTTGACTAGAGACTTTTTGACGTGAGAACCGCCTTCCAGTACGGATTAAGTTCTCAAGTCAAGACCCCACTGTATAAGACGCCCCCCCAACATTCCCACTCAGAATGTAGAGTTTGTTATATACTTGCTGTATAGGACTACCCCCCCTTCCGCATGCGTGATTCTGCTTTGGCTGCATCATGGGGAGAGTTCCTTTTGCCCCTTTTGGTTCCTTTTCGGAGGCAGCAGCCATTTTGGAGAGGCGGCAGCCATTTTGGAGAGGCGGCAGCCATGTGGTCGCATCTCAAAATAGCTGCCGTCTCTCTGCTGTTCCGACAGTCAGCTGTTCGGCGCTAGAGTCAGGCTGTTCCCAGGCTAGGAGCTGGGCTCTACTGGGTCTTACTACCAGGTAAGTGACTTCGCTGGGAGATAGGGAGGGTTTGCTAGACATGCACCCGGTGTACAAGACAACCCCCCCACTTGGAGGCATGTTTTTCAGGGTCAAAAAGTAGTCTTGTACGCCAGCAAATAGGTATATGGAGTAAAGTTAAATAAGTTTTATTTACTTGCATGGGTGGCTATTGTTCTTTTGTAGGATGACCATGATGCTGTGTAAAGAACTGTCATCTCTTTCTAAAGACTTTGCTACCTGCTTAACAGCTGCTGGGGTAAGATGTCAAAGTTGAAAGACTTAATAAGAATGATGTAACTACAGTGAACTGCAGGATCTGAAAAAGTGGCCTTCCTTTTATACTGTTTAGAACAGGGGTTTAAAACTTAATTTACCTGGGGGCCGCTAGAGACAGAGGCTGGGTGAGGCTGGGCCGCATCAGATTTTCCGCCAAGCGGAGCAAGAGCCCGAGGAAACCGCCCAGGAGTTTCCTTAGCCGACAGACAGGTGGGCTGGCTGGCAGGCTGCAGTTCTGGATGGAGGGTGCAAGAGGTGCTGTCTTGGGAGAGAGCTGGCGAGCGAGGCAAGGCTTTTTTTTTACTCTTGACAGCAGAGGATGTGTGGGTGCTTTGGGGGGGCAGGCAAGGCGAGGGCCACAAACTATCATCTGGGGGGCCGCAAATGGCCCCCGGGCCGCATGTTTGAGACCCCTGGTTTAGAATATTGCTGAGTGTGTTTTGTTTTGGTAAAGGAGGAAAACCTATTATCCCTTGTTACTACAGCAGTCTCTCTTCATTTTTTTAAAAAGATGGATGGACGGAAAATCCTCCTTTTGTGAAGTGATGTTTGGCAATGTCAGAAGAATGTGTTCACTATCTTTTTGTATTTCATACTGCCTACTGAAATAGGAGTACTTTTGGTCCTATGTGCTGTATCTGAAGGCTGCAACATTGTTGTTATGTGCCATTGAGTTGCCCCAGCTCATGGCGACTCCATAAATGAGTGCTGTCCAAGGTGTCCTTTCTTCAGCTGCCCTGCTCAGCTCTTGCAAATTGTCCAGCTGTCTTCAACTGCCCTGCTCAGCTCTTGCAAACTCAAGCCTATGGCTTCCTTTAGGGAGCCAGTCCATTTTGTGTTTTGTCTTACTCTTTCCTGCTGTCTTCTACCTTTCCCAGCATTATAGTTTTTTTTTCTGAGAATTCTCCCTTCTCATAATATACCTGAGGTAGCACAGCCTCAGTTTCAAAATTCTTGAATCCAGGGATAATTTATGCTTGAAATGATCTATTTTTAAATCAGTTTTTCCTGCCAGCTTTTTAACTGCCCAGCTTTCACACCCCATACATGGTGATCGGAAATACAAGAGCATGGATGATCTTGGTCTCCACTGACACCGCCTTATATTTTATGATCTTTTCCAATTCTTTCACTACTGCCCTTCCAAGTATTAGTCTTCTTCTGATTTCTTGGCTGAAGTCTCCATTTGGATTGATGGTTGAACCAAGGTATACAAAATCTCTGACTTCTTTCAATTTCTTCATTGCCAGTGTTGAAGTTGTGTAGTTCTTCTGTAGTTGTGATTTAATGTTCAACTAGAGTCCTGCTTTCGCACTTTCTTCTTTCACTTCCATCAAAAGTAATTTTAAGTTGTTGCTGCTTTCTGCTGGTAAGATGGTGGCATCTGCATATCTTAAATTATTGATGCTTCTTTCACCAGTTTCACTCCTCTGTCATTGGAGTCTAGGCTGGCTTTCCATATGATATGTTCTCTGGAGTCTAGGCTGGCTTTCCATATGATAAGTTCTGCATACAGATTGAAAAAATAAGGAGATAAAATGCACCTTTGTCTAACACTTTTGCCTATAGGAAACCACTCTGTCTCTCCATATTCTGTCATAACAGTAGCTTCTTGTTCACAATAGAGATTGCACATCTGGACAATCAAGTGCTGAGGCACACATTTCTTTCAGAACAACCCATAGTTTCTCATGTTCTACACAGTAAAAGGTTTTACTGTAGTCTTTAAAGCATAGACTGATCTTCTGAAATTCTTTGGTACTGTCCAGTAGCTAGCAGATATTTGCAGCCTAAAGCGCCTCAGCCAGTCAGAATTAGGCTTGAACATCAGGCATTTTTCAATTCATATAAGGTAAAAATCTTTGTTGCAACACATTGAACCTCACTTTGCTTGCATGGGATATTAAAGTAATGGTCCTATAGTTACCACATTCCTACACATCTCTTTTCTTAGGGATTAGAATGTATTTTGAGCATTTCCAGGCTACTGTTGCAAAAATGCTGATCTTGGAAACAGGATTGCAGGGGGTCAAGAAGGACTTTTATATTCTCTTCTCCAACAGTTTCAAAAGCCAGGAAACAACATTTCGCCCTCTGTAGCTCCAGCTAGCTAGTTGAATTGCAGGGAAAGTGGGCCAAGTCCTGTTGACATTTGTGGGCCACACAAGGAATGATTGAGTGCTGCATGTGGTGGTGGAGAAACAGTGTGTGTGCTCCTGTGGAATTGCTGCCCCTCCTCCATTTTCCTTCCTTCCTCTGAAGCTTGTGGTGATTGAATGTTATGGATCTCCTGTTTTCAGGAACAATTTTTCCTCTAGTTAGCCCTCTTAATAAATGTGGTTTATGCTGACACACTCTCTTTCTCTAACAGCTCAGCTGGGGGACTGTGATCCTGCTGTGTATGTAGCATGCTCTTTATAGGCAGTGCTTCTTCAGAACTGCATGCTCAGACCGTATCAGACGAATTATGATTAAAAAATGAATGGGATAAATTCTGATATAAATCAGTGGAACTGTCCTGAATTACTTTTAAGACTAAAAGTCAAATTTTATTCAGTCTTCTTTCTTTTTTTGTTATCAGCTTTTAAATGCAACCTAAAATATATGACTTTTTCAGGTGGAAGAGAAGGCAGATGTCCTTAACCCTTTAATCACTGGAGTATTTTTGGAGGTAAGTTGTAATACACTTGCAAGTGTAGATTTTTACTGAATATGGTTCTGTCTGAAATGACCAACTGATTATTTATTATGAGTGAAAGGAGAAATACAAGTTGAAGGATTCGGTATGGCTGTTATACTGAGCCTCTGGTTCATGTTACACAACTGATAGCATGTTTCTAGACCCTCATTCCTCAGTGAGTCATTTGATGTGATGCCCTTACAAAGTAGATTAGGTGTAGAGTGGAGGAAGTAATTTAAAAAAATCTGGAGATAACATAACAGGTTGTCCTATAAAACTTTAACTTAGATTAAAAAATAAATCTGTGACTTCCACATCATCCTTAGTCTCTAGATCCTGTTGTAACTTTGATAGACTGCATGAATAAGGTATAAAGTATATACATGGTTTGTCAAAAAGAAATATGGATAGGTGTGGCTTTCAATCAGTGTGCATACAGTAGGCCCATGTTCCCTACGCACCTATTGCTACATAAGCTCCCACTAACCTGTTCAGGTGTTCAGTTTGGGGAGAGATGTTGAGACGGTGTGAGATCTATCTGATGCCAACCCCTGGGGTTACTTAAGTATTCTGCATTCAAAGGGAAGCTCTCACATGACTGTCCTCTTTGTCCTTGTTTATAGGCTTCAAACAGCACTTCTTATATCCAAGATGCTTTCCAACTGCTGCTGCCAGTTCTACAGATCTCACATATCCAGGCTCAGACAGAACTAACACAGCAATAAATGACTTCAACAGTACCACAGTCTTCCTAAATGATATTCTCTGGTTCCACGAAACAATAGGAGCATGTTAAAGAGATACAAACTTTGATTTGTAGCTTTTCATTGACTGGTAATGTTGCTCAATGGCCATGAATTAACTGCCCGAGTTTGTGAAGAGGGGAAAAAATCTAGATAACACAGCAAGTTTAAAATATGGGATGGCTTTTTCACTGTGCCAAATAACATTCTGTCTATTGTTGCTGCATACGCTGCAGTATGAAAATATGCTACTATATTCTTTCACAGGAAGATAAATGAATAAAGGACTGAGAGGGCTGTATGACTGTAATGATGGCATCAGACCGTAGATGAATAATTGGAGTTAGTAACTGTAGTAAGGGGTACTATATAAACTCTGAATGGTTGCCTCAGGTTAAATATGAATTGGTTTAGGATGATGTTACTGCAAAAAGAAGATATTTAGCAGTCTCAGGACAATAATTTTTCTGTCATGTTAATTTCTCAATGACCTGAGGATTCAAAAGAAGAAACTCAAGAAGACTTTTAGAGTTGCCATCCTGCGCATAGTTATATGGGAATAAGCTTTGTTAAACACAGTATGACCTCCCAAGTAAACATGCATAAAGTTATGCTTCTGCCTGTTTAAACATTTGGTTAAAAGCCTGGTTGACCTCCTATTGTCCTAATGTTGTCTTTCTCTGTTAATGAAAACATGGAGATAAATGAGGAATTCTAAAATCTCTTTTGGATGATACTATATCCAAGATGAAAGGAATCCTGTGGGCACACTTTTGTGGATAGAGCAGAAGCTCAAACCTGAGCTGTCTGACACATTTTCAGTGTTCTAGCTGTCAGGAATAAATAAACAGTAGCTCAGAGAGAATTGCCTCAATTTAAAGATTTAATTCAGGACTATTTTGGTTATAGAAAGGTAAGATAGGAAGAGTTGATGCAGTGTTTTATCCATGTTAGCCTTGCTCCAAGTGTTTGAAAATTCCTGCTGAGAAGAGAATGATACAGAACTGGACTCCCTGATGCAGACTTGCTTCTTCAAGCAACTTTTAGAACACTATTATTTGTCCTCTTTGATAGAATTGTTACTTTGCACTTTTAATAATTTTTGTACCACTGTGAATGGGCTGTGTTCCCCTGCCCCTTGTGCATGTTATCCTTCAAAACGAGTTCCAGTCTCTGTGATTCCATTTCCTTTCTGCTTTTTTTCCAGGTAGAGTAAGGCTGGGGAACAAGTGGCACTCCAGATGTTGTTGGACTCCAATTCCCATCAGCCTCAGTTAGCCCTAACCAAAGATCAGGTGGAATGCGAGTAGTAGTTCATCAGCATCTGGAGAGCTGTAAGTTCTCTCCCTGAACTGAGGTGTGAAATAGTGCTTGAACAGTAGGGACAAAAGAGTTGGGATAGAGATGAATTCCATGTTTCTTGTCATTTTAAAACAATGACTGAACTCGCTGTTCAGGTGTGTTGTAATACTTCAGCTATTACAAACTTTTTAAAACCTTCATACTCTACTTTTTAAAAAAGTATATACCTGCTAAATTTGTTCAATAGCATACTCTTATTAAGAAAATGTTATCAGATTAACACACTTAAGAGTGACAACAGACATGTTCAGTTTTGTATATCAGGGCAAAAATCTTTTCTTTGGCTTTAGATATATGATCTATTATTTTACATAGGTTCTTTTTCTAGTGAGGAATCTATTTTGCATATGTGTGATATTTTTGAAATGTGCACTATATTACAGAATTTCAGCAATGTAATAAAGAAAAACATTCTCTTTAACAAATAAGCTGTCTATTCTCTGTCTATAGGCTGAAATGCAGCTATTCCAGACCCTATTACTAAAGGATGCATTAATCTTCTCAAGCATTGCTCTAAAACAGAATTCCTTTTGTCTTTGAGCTGTCTAGCTACTAAGCCTTCCTACGAGATTTGTGGTTTGATGCCCACTGGGAAAGCCAAGGGCACTGCCTGCCATCTCAGTAACGGGGCTGCAGCTTTAGAATGGTTTTATAGCCTGGTACAAACAGATAATACCGTTCTGTATTGGCCAAGACTTCTGTAGTACAAAGACTTAAGGAGAAGGAACTGGGTAAAATGGATTAGATATGCTCCTGCTCCTCAGTGTAGCAATTAGCAGATGTGGCAGGGGCTTTGGAAAAATAACAGAAACTAGGAGACAGGTAAATGTGCTGCATTGCCTTTGTAAGTTTATAACTTTATACAGTGGTGTCTCGCTTAACGATTTTAATTGGTTCTGGAAAAAACATCGCTATGGGAAAACATCGCTAAGCGAAACGCGTTTTCCCATAGAGATGCATTGAAAACCGGATATAACGTTCCAATGGGAACGGATTGCCATCCTTAAGCAAAAATCGCCATAGGAAACATCGCTAAGCAAAACGCGGTTCCCCCATTGGAATGCATTGAAATCTTTTCAGTGCATTTCAATGGGGGAGAAAAAAAATCACCAAAAATTCAAAAAGAGTCAGAACAAAGCCAAATTTGGTTAACAAAGGGTTTATTAAGTGCACTAATGATTTCAAGCACTCTAAACCCTTTTTAAACAATTTAACACCTTTTAAAAATAGCGAAAACGGAGCTGTCAAAAACATCGCTAAGCGAAACAGGGGAACCTAAACTGTCATTGCTAAGCGAAGCAAGGTCCCGAACTTCGCTATGCGAAATTTCCCCATTGGAAACATTGCTAAACGGAACGCAAGATCACTCCTAAAACCTCATCGCTAAGCTAATACATCGTTAAACGAGGCAATCGCTAAGCGAGGCACCACTGTAGTTGGTTTATAAAGTCCACAACAAGGTTCCTGTGTGAATTTTAAAACAAAAACTTCTCAAATATTTTGCAGATTTCTTCATAAATGTCATAGAATGTGAGATTGAGAGAAAGCTGAATGGAAGCAGGGACAAGGCTTACAGGCTTATTCATGCAGGCAAAGGGATTTGAGTACCTTCTGCATAAAAATTAAGGTTTTAATCCCTATGTAGTCGTCTTGTGTTTGTGATGCTATGGTAGCGTTGTTAAGCTGTTTTGCCAGCTCTTTACCTTAAACAGCTATGTGGTAAGCAGATACAGCATGGCCTTCCCCATATGGGGAATACCCATATGTTGGCCAGTTCGAATGGTTGGGGCTTTGTTAATTCTGGCATTGCTGAGGGGGTGAGGGACTGGCAAGCTTAAATTTGTGTAACTGAATTCATGCTTATACTTGTCCTGCCTCCATTTCCTTCCCTTGCCTCTGCTGTTTCCCTGCATACAAAGCATAGACTTGTACTTTTGTACTCTTGCGAAACATAATTACACACACTGGTGGGACTATACAACAAAGTAATACTTCCCCCCTTCCCCCTGACATTCGCGCGGCTCCCTAGTCAGTCATTATGACCAAGATTCAGAGTTCCTCTGAGACAGAATCTGCTTTCCTACTGGGCGGACGTTGGGCATGTTTTTTTTATCACTGAAACTTCCTTCTTCCTGCAGCTTTCTGTGCCACTTTAAAAGCTGTAGGAACAGATACGTCTAGAACAGTATGGAAAGTAGCACTGAGGCATAAAGGGGGAATTAGTGTAAAAGTGCCTTCCCTCATCTTCCACCAAGAGCCTCACTAGCTATGATTCTGATTCCAGCTAACAGACGAGGTAATGCACCCTTCAGAGAAGAAGGCTGTGTATTTCAATGTGAGTTTGCCTCAGTCAACCTTTGTCAAATTAGCTTGCTTGTTATATGTAATTGGTCATCCTGGGAGATGGTCCAGTTTCGTTTGCATATCTTAATGTCTCAGACAAGGAGCACTGAAAGATTTGCATTTGCATGTCTAAAGATATATTAATAGAAGAAATACACATTTGATTTCAGGTGTGATCCGACTCCCAAATTTCTTTCACAAATGAGAGTATTACTTCTGTTTTTGGAAGGGGCAGTCTGTCTCCTCATATGGATGATGATAATCTGCAGCATGGTTTAACATCACAGTTTTAAACGCTGGTTTTATTATTTCCAATTTATGAAGCTCTGAGTGTCAAGATTGATGGGCCAGTGGAACACAAAACCCTAGCATGAGGAGCAGCTACAAAAGAAAATGTCATTCCACCTGTGACATGCCACCTGAGGAATTCCTGGCACCTACAAGATGCCCTTTCCAATGCCAGATGAAAACCTTTTAAAGAATTTATTTCATGTTACTTCTGTTTGGCTTATTTCAGCTTGAGTTTATTCAACTTGCCTTTTCTTTGTTTTCTGATCTGTTTTATATTTTATTTATGTTTTTCATTTTTATGCCACTGAGAGGATGCAGTTTACTGGTTAACTTGAAAAATGTACCAAATAAAATAAAAAATTAAAAAAGAAAGTAGCATAGCAGTAATAATAGTAGGTGACATACCCAGACCTCTGGGTAAGGGGAAATTGCAGGAATGGGAGTGCATATACATGATTATGGAGACAAGTATTTACATTATGTCTGCATATTTTGTGTAAGCTAATTTCTGTTTCAGAGGTGGGATAAAAATCAAATATACAAGTGCTGAAGTCTAAACTCTATGTTTCACTAATAATTTCAGCAAGACATCCCTCCCTCCTCCTCCCCAACCCCTCTCATCACCTGAGAACTGGAGGGTTTTCAGGTCCTATACGTATGTTTTTGAGGGTGCACAGAGAGGTTGCAGTGGGGAGTGTTATTTCTACCCAGTTGTGCTATAAGCTTCTGCTGGTGGGATCCACTGCTCATAAATATTAAGAAACAAAAGAGAACAGCAGAACAACACCAAAAAATTTTTTTTAAAAAAAGACGTTGTGGTACCTTAAAGTCTAACTACTGTATTTTAATGTAAACCTTTGTGGAACTAACCCATTTCATCAGACAGGAATGAAAAATATAGAGACTACATGGTAAAGTGTTTGTGCAAGGCTCTAAAAGGGAGAGTGGTGTTTGGTTGCATTTCACACCTAATCATGATTTAAGGACCCCTATGTGGTATTTTTGACCAAACTCCGGGAGGCAGTGGAAGACAGGAGGGCCTAGCGTGCTCTGGTCCAGGGGGTCATGAAGAGTCGGACACGACTAAACGACTAAACAACAGCAACAATGTGGTAATTTAGTTCTTTTGAAGGTTAATTTTGTAAACAGCCATAATGATTAAAAGAAACAACAGCAAAAGCAACGTGGTAATACAGTACAGAGAATTTTAACTTTAACTTTGAGCCTTGTTCTGAAAAGGTGGGTTTGCTTAGTTGTGAAGGAAAATAACATTACATAACAACATAATACAGTATCACATGTGTTAGCGGCTTAAGAAACCTTGGATAATGTTTAATCCATAATATTGAATCCATAAATACATAAGGGCATAGGAAGCTGTTACATGCAGATCAGACAGTTGGCTTCATCTAATCTAGCATTATTGACGCAGACAGGCAGGAGCCGTTCAGTGTTTCAGGCAGAATTCCTTCCTAGACCCGCCTAACCAGTCTTGGCGCATAGGTGGGTCTTATTGATGGATGGGTGTGCGTGCCCGCTATACAAAGAAAAGAAAAAGGGAGTTGTGCATGCCTGATGGGATTTTGTGCTTTGCCACCTTTGCAACCGTGGGCAAGCTGCACAGTCCCAGAGCACCACCAGAAATGAGGAGTGGCAAACCACTTCTGAGTACTTCATGCCTAGAAACATCTGAATTGTGGATTGCCATAGGCTGCAATAGTCTTGATGCAATGCAAAATTAATTAACTCATTAATTAGGACCATTTAAAGGAATGGGTATTACGGTATATTAGCATGAACATACAAGTCCCCACTCGTTTGAGTGGGTCTCTAGTTGAGATGAAAACTGCAATACTCCCAACCCATGTTTCCATTCCATCAGTGGCAGGCAGGGTATAAGCTAATTTCTGTTTCAGAGGTGGGATAAAAATCAAATATACAAGTGCTGAAGTCTAAACTCTATGTTTCACTAATAATTTCAGCAAGACATCCCTCCCTCCTCCTCCCCAACCCCTCTCATCACCTGAGAACTGGAGGGTTATCAGGTCCTATACATATGTTTTTGAGGGTGCACAGAGAGGTTGCAGTGGGGAGTGTTATTTCTACCCAGTTGTGCTATAAGCTTCTGCTGGTGGGATCCACTGCTCATAAATATTAAGAAACAAAAGAGAACAGCAAAATAAAAATAAAAAATAAAAAAAGACATTGTGGTACCTTAAAGTCTCACTACTGTATTTTAATGTAAACTTTTGTGGAACTAACCCATTGCATCAGACAGGAATGAAAAATATAGAGACTACATGGTAAAGTGTTTGTGCAAGGCTCTAAAAGGGAGAGTGGTGTTTGGTTGCATTTCACACCTAATCATGATTTAAGGACCCTTATGTGGTATTTTTGACCCAACTCTGGGAGGCAGTGGAAGACAGGAGGGCCTGGTGTGCTCTGGTCCATGGGGTCACAAAGAGTCGGACACGACTAAACGACTAAACAACAACAATGTGGTATTTTAGTTCTTTTGAAGGTTAATTTTGTAAACAGCCATAATGATTAAAAGAAGCAACAGCAAAAGCAAACATGGTAATACAGAGAATTTTAACTTTAACTTTGAGCCTTGTTCTGAAAAGGTCGGTTTGCTTAGTTGTGAAGGAAAATAACATTACATAACAACATAATACAGTATCACATGTGTTAGCGGCTTAAGAAACCTTGGATAATGTTTAATCCATAATATTGAATCCATAAATACATAAGGGCATAGGAAGCTGTTACATCCAGATCAGACAGTTGGGTTCATCTAATCTAGCATTATTGACGCAGACAGGCAGGAGCCGTTCAGTGTTTCAGGCAGAATTCCTTCCTAGACCCGCCTAACCAGTCTTGGCGCATAGGTGGGTCTTATTGATGGATGGGTGTGCGTGCCCGCTATACAAAGAAAAGAAAAAGGGAGTTGTGCATGCCTGATGGGATTTTGTGCTTTGCCACCTTTGCAACCGTGGGCAAGCTGCACAGTCCCAGAGCACCACCAGAAATGAGGAGTGGCAAACCACTTCTGAGTACTTCATGCCTAGAAACATCTGAATTGTGGATTGCCATAGGCTGCAATAGTCTTGATGCAATGCAAAATTAATTAACTCATTAATTAGGACCATTTAAAGGAATGGGTATTACGGTATATTAGCATGAACATACAAGTCCCCACTCGTTTGAGTGGGTCTCTATTTGAGATGAAAACTGCAATACTCCCAACCCATGTTTCCATTCCATCAGTGGCAGGCAGGGTATTCCACTGGCCAGAAAGGACGGGTGAGCATTTCTTCTGCCTTCCCCCAACCGCAATAGAGCCAAATTCAGCCATTTCTTTTTCTAAACAAAACCAAACCACCAATTCTTGTTTTGTTTTGTTTAAGGAGACATTGCTGAATTTTGGATATATTGAGGTGGTGAGGAAGAGGTTTATATTGTGGCCGGTGGTGTATACACCCTGCCACTGATGAGATCCAAGACTTGGTTATTTTGTTCGTTTGCATGCAGAAAAACACAAAACGACCACCCTTCATTCTCCCTGTTGGTTACAACGGAGAGGGCAAGAGGTCTCTGCTGGGACACAGTTTGGCTGAACTGGCCCGAACTAGAAGTTTTTGGCAGAGATAGCCAGGATTTAGGAAGGAGGTTGCCTCAGTAAGGCCTGTAGATATGGAAGTATACTCTCTGATAGCATGCTATGCCTGCGCCTGAGGCGGGGTGAGGGGGGCAGGGTGGAACCAGTTTTTCTTCTTTTCCAAGACACAAGCGGGGAGGAGACACAGCACAAATGACAAGGCAGGAACCGGGAGCTGCATTTCCATCAAGTAAGAGAGCACCTGGGAGGCTGCCTGTCTTTCTTCCCCACCAAGTGAGGTTGGTTTTCTTGTTCATTTTCTCACTAGAAAAGAACTCCACTGACGACTCAGTCTGTAGTTAACAAGAATGTGACCCTCGTTAGACATGCAGATCTAGGATTCTGGGCTGTTTGTATTAAGGATGATTTATGGGATGAGGGGTCTAGATGTTTATCTTACTATTTATTTCTCAGCTTTGAAGAGGAAAGAAGACTGACCAAGCAAGGCTCCCACCGTGGCAAGTTGGTAGGAAGAGTAAATGTTAGGGTTTGCCAAATGTATGGAGGGAAAATAATTGCATTCAGGATTGTATTGCATGCTTGATTTGCCTTGCTGCAGTTTGTTTGGTTCCCCCACCCCTCAGATCCATTGGCATCTTGCCTTTTAGCGAGCCCAAGGGTCTCCTCCCCCTACCATCCAATTCATTGTCACAGCAGCAAACCTGTGAGGTAGGTCAGTCTGAGCATGCTTGGCTCAAGGTTACAGAGTAACTTTCATGGCTTACGAGGGACAGAAGTCCCCAAAGTTCTGATCCAACAACTGTACCAAACTGGTCTTGTTGACAGCCTTCTTGTTTTGCTTAACTTTAACATAGTGGGGAGGAAGCTGGAGTGTCTTCTATTCAGGTAGCCAAGTCAATCACAGCCTCACACATAATTGTGCCATTTGCTTGCCCAGAGCTGTGTATCCTGCCTGTGTAATTCATGATAATGCTGAAAGTGTGTGTGGGGGTGTGTGTGGCTGTGTGGGTGGGTGTGGATGTTTAGAAAACAAGTCCCATGAAAGCTGTTCTTTCCAAAGACACAGTCAGTCCAATGCATGGAATCTTCAATATTTCCATCTTCTATACACTGAAAATATAATATGCACTCCCTTTTGCACATGCTCTGCTCCAGGCATCTACCAGTCCTGCTCAGACACAGGGAACCTTCTTTGCCTTGGCCTGAGAATTTTCAGCTGAAAGCTGAACATATTCAAAGCTTCCTGACGAGAGCTGCATCGTAACTGAAAGATGTCATCCATTCTTAAAGGTGAGCGGCTTTTCTAAAAGTCAACCTAATGCTGTTTTCTTTATGTAAAAGTGTGTGTGTGTGTGTGTGTGCAAAAGTCAGCCTAATGTTGTTTTCTTTATGTAAAAGGGTGTGTGTGTGTGTGTGTGTGTGTGTCTAATTAAGAGGCTGGCCATGAATGATGGGAGTTGTAGTCCAAGGGCAACACGCTGAAGGGCTAAAGTGTTTCTTTGTTGACCTTTCATCCCACCCTCTCCAAGGCCAACAAGCTGAAGGGCTAAAGTGCAGGGTATGTTTCTTTGTTGACCTTTCATCCCACCCTGCTTTCTGTTTTGAGAACTGGGACCTGCATGAAAATGATTCAGTGCATCCCCATCTCCAAAGGAAAGGTCTTGTGCCCAGGGCTTCAGTTGACTTGGGCCTTGATTCTCAAACCTTTGTTCAGATCAAGTAAGGAAAAGTGGCACAAGAAACTTCAGGCAGGCAGCTGCTCTGATCCACATTGCATATCAGAACAGGAAAAGGTAGATGAGCAACTACTCTGAAGCTTTTCCTTGTTGTGATATACAGAGGCTTAGGTCAAGAACAATATTTTCAGGGTGGAGAAATAACTTTTTAAAATTGTAGAATATCTTCCTACGATTCAGATTGGAATTGGTTGGCAAATACTTAAACTGATCCAAATCCTTTCCCTCCATAACACTTAAAACTGTTCAGTTGCCTCTTTCTCCCACTTGCCTCTCTGCCCACCTCTGCTTATTGCCATGTGTATCTACTCAATGATCTCTTAATATTTCTGCACATCTAGGAGGCCTGCAGCTTCTTGTCAGGCTGTGTCTCATTTTGCCTTGGCCATAACATACCATTGTTTCCTTAATTTTGATTGCTGGTCTCTACTGGCTGAAAGGAACTCATTCTCAACATGCAGTGCCATTCATCAACCAAACAAGGTGCTGGAGGGCCTCATGTGACTGAACCAGTCTATCCACTTCCCCTTGAAGCCAAGAGCCAAAGTTTGCCATTTCTTCATCCATATTCCCTATCTTTTCACTTGTTTGAGAGCTGTTGTGGGGAGTCATCTACTTAGTAAGAGAGCAAACCAGGTAGTTTTCTATGGTAAGAGCTTGCTGTTTCTGCTGCCAGGTTAGCTATTCAATTGAGGATGAGTGGGAAACACTCTGTGGGCTCCAGGGACCCTTCAGGATCACTCTGGACTTCCTGCCCCAAAATGGATAATCAACACTCTGGGAAGCCTCGGTTCCTTATCTCAGTGTGGGGATGGCTTTGGTGCTTTTTCAAAAGGGAACTTCCAGTCACAGTGTTTTTTTAAAAAGTAGATAAGGGAGTTTGGGACTTCCAATAGCACAGAATAAGGTCCAATTTCTGTATGCCTCTCCTTTTCTAATTTCAGGACCAGCCTACCTGTAACAGAGTGAGGGGGCCTCCTCTGAAGGGATGTGTGGGAAGCAGCAGCAAATGGCTGAAAAGATAGGGTTCTGGGCCTCACATGTCCTGCATGGTGCTGCCTACACCTGTTGCTATCAGCTGTGGTGTGAAAGCAAACTGCAGTTGCCTGTCCAGTTGCCTTTTGTCCATGGAACAGGGTTGAACGAATGCCATATTTCCCTTAGCCTTAAGCGGCAAAAAATCTCAGAGCTGTACTTATGTGACATAATAGTACTTGCTCCTTGGTTTGATAAATGGAATGAAATGACACCAAAGCATGAGGGCTGGCACTGCATATGCATCTAAGGGATCCAGTCTTTTGCTCTCCATAAGTGCAAAGTAAGACAACTGTATACTTTGCTCTTGACAACCAAAGACTGAAAATTCCCTTATTTCGGGGAAGTCGAACAATCTTACATTCTGCTTTGTAAACACCACTATACCCATGTTTCCTATTTCTGTATTCTTTGTCTTCTTAGTGTTTGGGAGAGAGGAAAAAGACAAGGACAAGGATAAAGACAAGGACAAAGACAAAGACAAAGACAAGAAAGATGGACCCAAAAAAGATAAGAAAAAGAAAAAGGAGAAGAAGGTAAGAAAAAGGTGGAGAATTAGGGGTAGCCTTTCTAGAAGGTGACATTGTTTCTTCAGACAGCACATTCTGAATAATATTCAGTAAATAGCCCTCTAAAACCTGTACTGTCAGATCACGACATGGGCATTGCTGTTTTGTATACATATATGTGAGGCATCTGTGCAATGTCTCAATTAAAAATCTGCAAAACCAGCTGAAAAGCCCCAAAGCATGGCTAGCCGGTTTTGCCTAGGTCATGAGCTTCCAAAGATCAGTACAAGGTGTGCAAGTCCATGAAGAGGTATAGACATCTTTCATCATGAATTCATTTTTTTGCTTTGGCAAATCATTGCAATAAATCTTCCTTGATACGAGTTATTTCTCACTCTAAAGCAACTGCTTTAAGTTGAAACATAATGGCTTGAGATTGTTGTTTCTAAGAACTTGTGCTTTATTGTAAATTTAAATTCTAGGCTCTGTCCTAGACTCTGAAGGTTTGAGATCCACCATTAGTAAATCTGTGTGTGTCATAATAGTGTTTCAGTATTTCATGACACTTGTAAGTGGATAATGCAGTTTTCTGTTTCCAAGGCAAGTCTAGCAATATATTAGATAGTAGTGTGTAAAAGATGGCAAGGACAGTATTGGAAGAATGTGCCCAAGCATACATGCACAATGAGTTAGTGGGCAATCATATTTTTATGGCGGACCTATACATATTTACTGGGAATTGACAACTTTTTATGTATTAACTAGGATTTATTAATCAGAATGTGGAAACGTTACTGTTTTGACCTATAACCCAAGTTGCCATGCTGCTGGTTGCAAGATTCTGGGAATGTAGTCTGATAAAGCCCTGATATTTGTAAAGCTATGTGTGGAATATCTCTGAGCCATCCACATTACCTAACTTCAACTGGTGTTTATCCAGAAAAGGAAGCAAAGCGCAGACATTCACTCTTTATTCACATTTTCTGTGCATTCACATGAAGTGCATGGTCACTATTATTTACACATGCTTGTCAGTCTTGAAGAGAACAAGCAAGACAATACACAAAAATACAATTTTAATGTATTTATTTATATTTTGGACATATTCATGCTAGATACAGCATTGTGTGAGTGGAAATACATTCACATAATGGAATTCTGTCAGTTGTGGGTTTTTTAATCTCAACCATTATTAAAATCTCCACTGAAGCATCTCATATATCCCTGAAGCAGATTTTGGATTTGGGGGTAAATCCCAGGTTCCACAGGGTGCCAGGACTCAGGACAACAGTAGATGCCTGACCATCAGTAGATGGACACAACAAGGTGTCAGTCATATTAACATTTGAAGGGGCATCAAAACATGCCAGTGGCACTAGGAAATGTAAAACACAGGTATCACAAAAGAATCTTTAAAAGTATCCAGGTCCTGAAGCACTACATAAGCCGCCTAGAGAGGTCCTGAGTTGACTAGATAGGCGGGATATAAATAAAGTAAAATAAAATAAAATAAAATAATAAATAAATAAACAATTGTCAGAATCCAACTGCTGAATTATAGTTCCCATTAACTCTTAGTAGACAACTGCCATTCATTAACAAGGCCCTGGTTGCATTCATTCCAGTGTGTTCACTTGTTAATAGGTTGCGAATGGAGGAAGGCAACTGACATCTTGTTAATGAATGGCAATTGGCTGTCAAGAGTTAATGAGGGTGTAGAATACCAATAGGATTTTGGACACTGAAAGTACATGGCTATAGACCCTTTTTGGAACTGTGGAATGCTCTTCACAGGAGAGGTGTGTATTTCAAACAACCTTCTAAACTGGTACGGAAGCTGAAAAAGAAGGGGAATGGCTTGCCTGATGGGGGTAAGCTTAGTCGTTTATCTAACTGTGAGTCCAGTTTTCACTCTGATGCTCTTATCTCACATGGGTCAATGAGTCATTACATACCGCAACCACTATTCTAATATGACTCATGCAACGTGTGGGTTGTTCTTAAGACCTTTCATAAACAGGTTTGTTGGCTGCATCCTCCTTATATGAGTCAATCTTGGCCCAAATTGGTTAACTAAAGCAAAAAGTTTGCTCAGGGCTGGGTGTGTAACAAGGAGATAGAAAGATTCCCCTGGGCAATGTAAGAAAACAGTTTGGTGGGTGTGTAATATCCTTCAAAAGGCACATTATATATAAGCCTCCAAACTAGAATGTGGTAGTGAAATGGGCAACTATCTCTCAGGTTCACATTCCCACTTTCATGTTGCCATATAACACATTACTGGCACAAAGTGTGTTGGTGTGTACTGATAGTGGGGAAAGCAAAGGTAGCGTTTTTGGCCATAAGAAAAATGCTGAGGTCTGTGGACTTTGAAGGTGTGGCTGGCTGTGCTCAATTACTTTCTTCTGTAAGTGGGCCATCTCTGTTCATTTATGTAAACATAGGTGAATATTGAAGATTTAAAATGAGATTCTTATCCTTCAGTTTAGCCCATGAAACAATAATATAATCACAAGGACCACAACAGAACCATATCTTTGGGCCAGTCACTTGTCTCAACCTGGCTTACCTCACAGGGCTGTTGTGAGGATAAAGGAAGGAGAATGGAAGCCATGTAGGCCATCTAAAGCCCACGGAAGGAAACATGGGACATACAGTAAACATAACAAATAACAACAGTAAACAACAACACAGCTCCTGCACAGCTGGGTCTGGTTATTTTGATACAGTGGATTAAAAAGTCATAAATCAGGATGTGAGAACTTCTGTCCCTCCCAAAGTTTTTAACCTGCAACTACCTGCATATGGCACTCATCAGGTATGCCAGTTAGGGCTGATGGCAACTACAGCCTTACAGCACCCAGAAGACCAGGGCTTCTCAACCCTGTTCTAAAAGCAAGCAAACGATCACTTGTTGAAGCAATTCTCTCTTTACAACTAGTCTACACTCTGCTCTTTCGTAGCTTCCCAGTTCTAGGAAGGTCATCGCTTTTGTTATTTCCTACCCTGCACATTTCAGAAACTCCTTTCTGCAGTCTTTCATCAGTCAACATCTACAAGGTCTTGCCAAAAAAGCACTTTTCCTGTCCAAAGTAAACAGAGCAGGCTGCAAACACGACTGGCCCACAGAATGAACTTCCCCTTTGACCTCTTTGCAATCTGCTTCCTAAAAGCCTGCTGAGGAATCTGGTGCTCATATGATTGGGAGGATCCCCTACATTTTCTTTGTTGTCGTGGAGAAATGGATGACCACACATCCAGGAGTAGGATGTGTTAAAAAGACAGCCATGAAAAATGGAGTCACCACATTCATAATAATAAATGCATTTGTATATTGTGTTTTCCAGAATACAGTACAGTGCACTCAAAGTGGTTTGCAGATAAAAGTATAGAATTACCACAACTGCAACATGAAACATAAACTGTTTATATTCAAATTATTTAAAATGTATCAGGTAGAATCTCTGTTGCTTTATGTAATCATATAAGGTCAACTGTGTAAGCAACATCGCCTATTTCCTGAGATTGGCCATGTGCTTGGGACGTATGACCTGCAGTCTGGGGAATGAGAACTCCACTTGCTTGATTTTTCACAACAGAATGTTGCTCATCAAGTTCCAATGGGCATAAGACATACCAACAGGTCAGTTAACAACATCTAATACCAATAACTCACATTCACATTAAGCGATTTAATAAACACGACAAGATATGAGAACTAACATAATCTTGCCCACATTAACATTAGAGAAAAGGAAAAAAAGGGGGGAAGTATATATAGACTTTCCAGGAGACACTTTGTGTACCCCACTCTCCAGCAACAGAAACAGACTCTTCTGTCACAAGGATTCTAAGTTTGGAGGCAAGTAAGAAACCCTCAACTTTATGCAACGATCTTTCTGGCTGTGTCTAAGGAACAACATATTAGGAGAAAATAAATGGAAAAAGACCCTCATTAAGTAGATGTCCTGATGAAAGGTCATCCCTAGTCCTGTTATTTCATATATTTATACTTCCACCTTTCCACTATGAAGTCATGATCAGGGCACGTTAGAATCTAAAAAACCAAACAAAATCCAAACAAAAACATGTAAAACCAAATCTAACCTCAAAATCAACAAAGTGAAACAAAACCAACCCCACCATAAATGCCATTAAAATCAACCAAATGCATAGTTTAAAACAATGTGGCAGATTAAGCTTTATGTGCTGGTTTAAAAATATGTTTTCACACCTTTTTAAAAAAGCAGTTAGAGTGCAACTCTGATGAGAGTACATTCCACATTCTGGGAGCCACACTCTGGAGTAAGTCCTCACCTCTGTGCCTCTTAGGCAGGCCTCTATAATTGTTGGCATTCTTAAGAAGGCCTCTCCTGAAAGCAGTGATAGCAGCTCCTTTCTGAAGAACCTCAAGTCTGGAGATAGGTTCAAGGCAGAAGGAAACAGGAAGCCCCTCATGGCACAGATCTCTACAATTGTTGGCATTCTTGAGAAGGCCTCTCCTGAAGGCAACAGTGATAGCAGCTCCTTTCTGAAGACCCTCAAGTCTGGAGATAGGTTCAAGGCAAAAGGAAACAGGAAGCCCCTCATGGCACAGACATCTCTCCCCCGTCTGTCAGTCCTGTACAGCTGTAGAGTGGTGCCTTGCTTGATGAGGATAATGCGTTAATCTCTCCCCCGCCTGTCAGTCCTGTACAGCTGTACAGTGGTGCCTCTCTTGACGAGGATAATTCGTTCCGTTCAAATCGCTGTTAAGCGAAATCCTCATCAAGCGAAATGAAAAAGCCCATTGAAATGCATTGAAACCGGTTCAATGCGTTCTAATGGGCTAAATACCTCATCGTAAAGCGAAGATCCTCCATAGGGCGGCCATTTTCCGGTGCCTGTATAGTGAGGAATCTGTGCTAAAGCAAAGCGGGGAGCCATTTTGCACATTGTCCTAAAGCAAAGTGGGGAGCCATTTTGCACAGT